TTGATCTTGTCGAAGCTCTCCTGGAGGCTCACCCAGTCGTTGATCTTCATGTGATTGCGGATCTGGTCGATGGTTGCCGACATCTCGTCGAACCTCTTGACCTTGGCCGAGCGGACGACGCGCTTCTCATCCTCCGACCCCTCGCTATCGCTCGTTTTGTTGAGATACTTGTTCCCCGCCTCACCGGGCGTGACGATATCCTTGAAGTCATCGGCATCCTCGCTCGATTTCACATCGTCCTCCGAGTCGCTATCAACTCCCTGCACGAAAACAAGAGATCAATACCAAGAGCAACACGAATCCGACGCACCTGGTCCCAGAATTTCGACATCCCGAGCGCCAATTCGGTCGCCAATTCGATCGCCAATTCACCCTAGCCGAGCCGCTGCTAGAACCCTAACTTTGAAAAGAACCCTAGATTTAAGAGAGATCCATATCGTACAATAGGATTCAAATTGAACGGTGGGCATGGTTTTTACAAATGGGAGGAGAAATGGAGACGATTTCTTCCTCATCTAGGTAATGTCGGCGATCGAGAGAGGTTTCTAATCGTCCATGGTGATTCCAGAGTTTGTTGCCGCGGATCTCTTTCTCGCTCTTCTTCTTCTACGTCTCTGAAGTCACGGCAAGAGTCGATCGAGCTTAGGTTAGAAGTGCTAAGAATCCGATGGATGGGAGAGCTTACTCCTCTTCGGCGTCGTCGTCGTCGCATGGGCGATGGGGCAGCGGGCGATCGTCTCGGTGGCGCCATTCCTTCGCTCTCTCACAACTCAAATGCCGCCCGCCAAAAAACATATACCCTGAGCCAAGCGTCATGGATCCGCCACGTCACGCGGGCGGACACTGGCACGTCATAAATCCGTTAAAAGAAACCATTGGCTTCCCGGGATTCGAACACAAACTGGTTCGTTAGGGTTTTTAGGGTTCTTCGCTCACGCTGGATGTCCTTCGCGGCTGACTGGTGGATTTGTAATCAGCGCAGCTCGATATCAGCCGCATTCTAAGATTTCTCTCCGTTACTAGTTCTAGCTAGCGAAATCCTTGTGACTGGTAGATTTTCGGCAGGGAATTCTAACATTTCTCTCCATTTCTAGATCTATCTAGCGTTTTCAACAAAATCCTGGGAGCTCTGGAATTGGCATTTCCGGTAAGAAATTTGTAAGTTCTCACGCTTCCAGACGACAGCACACTCCTTGCTCTGGTTAGACAAGCATCCTTTTTCTTCATTATTTCCAAAAAGTAGTTCGTTCCATCCGGCATGTACAGTGATTGATTAACACTTCCCGTAAGTTCTCCTGTTTTTTTTGTTTTCTTTTTCCCCTAAACTCTCTTGAATATCTTACACGATGAAGATCGCAGTGAAGAAGATCTTGCTCATGGCTGTCCAGCGCAAGAGAGAGTCGCGGGGTTCCATATCCACGGCACCAAGAACTTCCGCTGGTTCACGCCCTCCACATTGTAGCTCGCCTTGGAGCTGGGATCCACGGAGAGCTGCCCCGGATAGCCAGGATACGACCCCGGCCCATAGCTGCTGGAGCAAGCTCCCGCCGCCTCGAGCGCAAACGTCTGCTCGCCCTGGTAGTACGCGGTTCCAAACGGATTGGTGGCGGCTCCAGCGAGAACTTTGGCGATGGTGATGATCATCCCGTCCACCCCGACGCCGTTTGGAGCGGTGAGAACCTCCTGGGGGCCGAACTGCGGCTTGGCGTATGGCCAGGCGCAGAATCCCGGGCACTGCGCCTCGGAGTTGCCAACCCAGGCGTATGGAAGCATTGCGCCGCCGGTGGAGGAGCCGGGGAAAGTGTAGAGGTGCTCGCCGCAGGTGTTTTGGCAGAAGCCTTGGACGCTCACGTCGGCGGCGGTGAGGACGAGATAGATGCTGCGGGGGTCGGACGGGAAGGCCTTTGAGCGGATGGAGCTCGCGACCAGGGTGGCGATGTCCGACTTCTTGAGGGATTTGCCGAGCGAGTACTTGCGATCGGTGGCTTGCTTGGCCAGGACGAGGCTCTGCGCGACTCCCTGGCCTTTGGAGTCGGTGTACTTCTGCGTGAGCGACCACCATTTGGCGACGGTGGAGGAGCTCTTGGCCGCCGCCGGAGAGAAGCTCGAGAGGAAATCGGTGATGGTGGCTTTGTCGCTCTTGGAGAAGCGGCCGTAGAGGACGAGGTAGATCTTGATCGGCTCCGGGCCGGAGAGAACGGGGCCGTTGTGGTAGTCGAGGACGAGCGGTGGCGTCTCGACGAGCTTGGATTGAGCGGCCATAGCGAAGAGGGAGAGGAATGCAAGTGCTGCGAGAAGCGTGGACGCCATTTTCGAGCTCGAGAAGAGAAATGCTAGAGGAAGAGGATGCTCGATCGATCAAATCCTCGCAGCTGGAATCGAAATGGCGAGATGCTCGATCGATCTATCGAAATGGCGAGCTTGGAAGGAAGAGAAGAAAGGCTTGGAGAGCTTGAAAACCTTGCTGCTTGACCTCTGGAGCGCCGCGTGGTTTTTATACTTGGCCATCTCCTGGCGTTTAAGCGCCTAATAAACTCATCGGTTTAGTAGCTTAATGGGGGCTACGCTGGGTACAGTGAGGCTGTGCCTGGGTGTGTGTTGACGAGTGACGATTGGGAAATTTCCAGGGAATGACGGGTCTACCGGTCCGCGGACATCGCCCTATGACGTGGCACGCGGACAGCTCGCCAGCCTGGCGCTCTGCTGGCGGGCCCGCGGCATGGGCCACGGATTCAATCATTTCTGGTGGGCCACCGGGTTATCGCCACGTGCTGACGGCCACCGCCAGGGCTGCTACCGCGCGGTGCCGGCGGCGGGTGCCGCGCGGTACAGTGCGGTAGAATTTGGGGTTTTTGGGCTGTCAACGTCGTGTGAGCGAGCTGGGAGCCCATGCCCATCCCATGGTCAGATCAATCCAGCCGTGCAAGAGCAAGAGAATTCTGTTTGGCCTGCAAAGCACTCATTGGAGGCTTTCATTCAAGTCGATTCATGGCGAGCTCTGCTCGGCCTGGCTTGTTGCATTGATTGATGGATCAATCACGATGCATAGACGGAGAATGGAAAGATGGGGCCCCAGACTCTGAGTAGCCAGCCCGAAATTCCAATGCACGGCAAAGGGATAGAGGAGCAATTAGAAAATCGCAGGGCTACACACGATCTTTGGTCTGGGCGAGTGTAGCGATCGCTTTCCTGCCTGAGCGGAGGAGGATGAATGAGTATCAAAGACATTAACAGCTGATTTGATGCTTCCAGCCATGGAGCAATCGGAGGAACCATTGAACTTGGCAGTTCTTCGACGGTACAAGACATGATCTCTTGTCTATGGGTCGCTTTCCACACCCAGAGGAGGAAGACGAAATCATAACCGTTGGCTTCTCAATTTGAATCTGGACCGCTAGATGTCATATGGTTGGTGCATCCAAGGTTCGATTCCGGTACTCGAAATTCTTGGCGTAGGGCTTTCTCGTTTGGATGGATTCCATCGAGAAGAAGGGTCCGATCGAGGGATTCTTCGTAGAATGTGGAATGCGGGCGTCTAGGATGGTCTTGGGAGTGATCGATCGCGGAGGTGAGAGGGATGTAGATTTTGAGCTATCCTCTTGGAATCCGACCAAGGGCGATACGCTTGCGATTGTCGTCAGGGTGCCGCCTCCCAGTGATCTCTTCCAGAAGCTCAACTTGTCTCTCAGGTGAGAGAGAGAGAGAAAGAGTTTTTCCAAAGGATGATCCTTTCTACTTGTCAGGGAGATTGTTTGGGGAAATTCTTTTGTGAGCGTTACTTATGGCGGGAGTGAGATTCCAGCGTACCCGACCACCGAGGAAAAATCTATCTGGAGAGCACTGGCGCCGTCCACGCCTCTCGATGTTCCTGGACCTCGCTCGTTCGCAGTGAGCCTTGGATTTTTTTTACTTTCATATGGTTCTTTTGCTAATGGTTACAACTAATAGGTGGACGTAAGAGATGGACGACACAAGCTCTATCGTGGAAGCATACAGATTGTTGACAAGGACTATCCAGTGGAATCGATCTGGCTCAGCGATACAAAGTCTAGCATTTCTGGTAAACTTTGGTAAGCTTTTCTCTCGCCTTTGATTTAGTTCATCGTCTCACGGGTTTTCAACAGGAACTAGGAAGGAGAAAGCGGCCATGGAGGTGTTGCGACTTAGCAAAACACCTGTCCAGCATTGGTCCGGTCCCTTTAAGCTTCCAGCACAGGGAGATGTCACTACTGGATTCGGCCTCCAACGTTTCTACAACGGAGTTTTCGCTGAAAAGTAAGAAGTTTTTTTTCATGGACAGAAAAATCAAGATTGTTTTTACAGCTACTATCATCAAGGAATCGACTATGGTGCCGAAGAGGGGACTCCTGTCAAGGCACCCGCGAAGGGTCGCGTGGTTCTTGTTGGTAAGGAAGCTGATGGTTTCCAGCTTCACGGGAACTGCATTGGCCTGGACCATGGTCATGGTGTAACTTCCATCTTAATGCATCTCTCATCGGTAGACGCCGTGTAAGCACGCTCTAGACTTTCTTTTCTGTGCTGTGACATTCCTCACAGCTTTTTTTCCCTTACAGTGAAGGAGAGATAGTGAAACAAGGCGATACCATTGGCGCCGTGGGAGACTCCGGCCTCGCAACAGGACCACATTTGCACTGGTATGAAGCATGAAGGAACTATTTTTTCAAATCCTCATCTTTTTTGCTGGAAACAGGGGCCTCCTTGTCAATGGGAAAGCCGTGGATCCCAACCAGTGGCTGGCAAAACAATGGTGGCTCTAATATACCATGGATTCATTTTGTTTTGGTTGTCAATCTTTTGCAATGAATTTTAGCTTGCAAGAGAAGTTATTATTTGTTGTATTTCTCCAGCATCACTGTGCCTCGCCCAAAACTCCAATTTTTCTGCTTGCCTCGGACAAAAACCCCAGGATGGAGCAACAGGACGCGCTAGAGGCCGGATTATCAAAGCGCTTCAGGAGTGTAACACTGTATGGTCACAACTCAAAGCTCGTCAGCTGAATCCTGTGCATCAGCAACACTGTGCTGTTCGTTGATGTCATTGACAATATCAAGGCCGCAGTGGAGAGCCAGTGTCCCTCTTGCTCTTGGTCCATACTTGCTCAGTGTTTGAACTTTCCCTTTCTTCCTTTCGTTTAAGCTCTTCTTTTGAGCCAACTTCTTCCTAAAGGCCGCAAGTGTTCCTTGAATTTCTATTAAGATATTCCTTGATCTTTTAGATTCCTTGACTATAGATCTCAATTCTAATGGTTTGTGAATGGTCTGCTTATATAGTTACAAAGCTTCTGGAATGCAGAGACAGCATCACCGCCACAGGCCTTTCTGCAAACAACGGTGAGTTCGCTTACCTCTGGACTTCCTCTAAGTTCTCGTCACGTGTACAGCACCACCAGTGCCAAGCGATGATCCTGATTCACATTGAAAGAGGTGGAGCTCACGGCCATCCCAGTGCCAACATCTGGTGTCTTGCAGCTCCTCTCAAAGTTCCAAGCCAAGGGACTGTCTGCCCAAGACCTGATAACAACATCTGTCGGCCACAACATGAGGGATGTGAAATTTGCTCCGAGGCAATTAATTAAGTGCTAAGACGAAAAACACCAAATAACTACTTTTGTGAGGATGCCATATACTAATATTAGCATAATGGGATTTTAGTAGTTGTTAAATTGGTTTTAATCCAGATTATTGTATATAAAATAGAGGTTAAAAGATATGTACATTTCTTGTATTCCTTTTCCATATTCCATGAATTCACACCTTTAGCTTCTTAAATTATGAATTCAAATAAATAATAAAAAAGAATATTATATAATTAGTATAGTTTAGATTTAAAAAATGAATAAAGTGTGTGCCATAAATGAATTAAATAATTTTCTATGTGTTGTATAACTAATGCTTAATAGAAGTGTTATATACATTAATAAAAAAATTGATCAAATATTTTTTAAGGATAATGAGGTTAAAAATATGATTAATTATTCAAGATATTGTGTCGCTCTTTATTTAATTTTAAACCCTAATTCTATACTCTGATTTGATTGTTGATTCAATTAACAAAAAATACAACCTTGTTGATTTGATTTGAAATTAAAAATACTATTACATTAAGCTTTTACTTTCATATTATAACATTTCTATAATAAATTTGTATTAAATTTTATTTTATTTCAATTTAGACCCCAGTTAAGACGTTCTCAAAAATTCAAATTTAATATTTTTATTAAGTGACCCAAGTATTTAAAAATACCTTTGTTCCTTTTTTACATATGTCTAAAAATAAAATTTACTTTATAGTTAAATATAGTTAAAACTATGTGTGCTAAATTTGTTGTGCAAATCATAAATTAATGTAATTAAAAGAATTAAATATGTTTTATTATGCTAAAGTATTTCGAATAGTATAAATTTAGGTGAAATTATATAATAAATATTTACTGAAATATTACTAAGGTATTTATACATTTCATTGTTTTTATTAAATTCATAAATTTATTTAAGTTTCTCTATGTAAATATTTTAACATGAATTTAATGTTAATATATATTCATGAATAGATGGATGTGTTTTTTAAAAATATTATTCATTTTAATTTATCCTCTTTAGTGCATAAGGTATTTTGTTTATATATTAATAAACTGATTTTTAGGCATCCTAAATTAAAAATAACTTTTTTATTAAAATAAAATTTATAAAGTTGTTTTATACACCAGTCTATTTCTATATTTTATCAAATCAATTAATTTAATATTAAAGGTGTTTTAGCATTTTATTTATTATAATTTTAAAAAATAAACTACAAATTCTTTTTAGGATGATAGTGAATAGATTATCTATATAAATATAATTTGGCTAATAAAAATAAATTAAATAAATATATCAAAATAATCTATAAATTTTTCAACTTACATATATTTTTTAATGATATATGTAGTATTAATAAATATTTAAATATTTATTTTTTAACAAACTTTGCATCACTAAATATATTTTGGAAATTTCTTGATGTAAATTGAGTAAAATATAATATTTCAATAAAAATTTAACATAAAACTATTTGCAAAATAAATTTTAAATAAAATATGTTTTTTTTGTAAGTTTTCCTGTGCTTTGCATATTAGTTTTGTTTATGACATCAATTAAATATTGTACCATTCCTTTAATAGTATTTATAGTCTTTAATATATAAAATTATCCAATAATTTTTACTATTTAAAATAGTAATAAAATTTATTACCTCTGTATTTTAATTTAATGATTGATTAATAATTTACCTTATCTTATTTTTGGATTAGTCTTCACCTCAATTTAATATTTATGTGCCTTTATGTATGTGGCTACTTTATAATTCTAGATATTTTTGAAAGTGTATTCCATTTATAAACTTGATTTTTTATTTAAATTTTTTCTCATGTATGATTCATTCTAAAATATATTTCTTCTCACCATGTTTATTTAAACAAATCTATACGTGAAATTTATATAAACACAGTTAATGTATAGTTTTATATCACTATGATTAAGATTATTCTTTTAGCTACATATAATCATATTTTGTATATTATTTTCTAATAATAACGATAATAATATAAATTATATATTATAAATAAAAACTTTTAATTATATTTTTTTTATTATTTAAATTTTTGATAGTAAGAATAAAATAATTTTATTTTACAATATAACTATTAATATAATTTCCTCTTAAAAGTTGAACTCATTACTCTCTGAGGAGAGTTTATTTAAGTTATTTCTGTATTATATATTTACCTTTGGTTTTCTATATACATAAATTATTAACTGGTTTCCATCAAAATATGAAATGAGAGTCAAATCTTCACATTGTGGCTTCTATTAGTCCATTAGTGAATTTGCTAAACAATATCATAAAACAATCGAGATATGGAAACTTGAGCTTTGGTGAAAGAGTTATTTCAAGATTCAAGAGGTGATGTTTTAAAAGCAAAGTGGGTAAGTGCTGGATTTAAATAAGCTTCCATCAAGCAGCTATGGCAATGATAAAATCACAAGGACTTAAACACAAGGGTGTTATTACTTTTGCTTGATTGCCCAAAGACTATTTACTATAATTTTAATCCTCCTTGGGAGACAACATTTCTAATTAACGACTTTTTTTCTTCGTGGTTGCTCCTCCTTTTTTCTTAGGCACAGCTGTACCATCAGATGAAGAAGACTTTTGTGTTTTCTGCTTTTTCCATTCGAAGATTGCAGCCCTAAAATCATTCATCTTGGCAAGCAAGGTGAGAAAAGGGATGAGCTTGAGCAGCTCCTCATCTTCATCGTCACCATTCCCTTTGGAGAAGAAGGGCTTGATGGGCAATGCATTCTCCACATTCTTCTTGAACATCTCGGGCTTGTCATCCACGACCACGACCCTCTTCATGTCCCGGCCTAGCAGAGCTGCTGGCTTGATCACAAAATCCACGCATGAATCCCCGTACAACCGGTGTGCGATGCTCCCATGCTTTCGATCAATCTCATCCACGATCTTCTCTGCACACTCTCGAGTTCCTGCTGTGAATAGCACAACCTCATACAAATCCTTGACAGCGTGGAGGAATTGATCGAGGCCGGGCCGTGAGACGCTTCCATCGATCAAAGTGTTGTCAAGATCGAGCACCAGAGTTGGGCGGCCAACCTGAGCGCCAACCTGCGGTGGCAACAAGTTCTCTTGACCCATTATAAGCCCTAATCCTATTTTACCCTAGTTTTAAACCCCGGTCATTACATTAACAATGACGTGGCATTCTGCAGTAACGCCACGTTGGATAAGTGGTGTGGCAACCTTTAAAAGCTCTCCTTTCGAAACTCAAACCTGGTGCTGGTTCTCTGCGAGAAGGTCCAGGCGATTCCTTCCAGCTCCTTGGCTGCCGAGGCCATGCCGCAGTAGAACACGCCGACACGGGCACCGGGATGGTTTGCGGCCAGCCTCGCGAAAACTTTGTTCCAGTTGGGCCGAGCAAAGTGCGTGCGAACCTGTTTCGCTGGACCGCGTTAGCACCAGGCAAATTCAGAGCGAAAAGGAGAAAAAGAGTTTGGCTATACCCGAGTTCCTGAGACAATGTCCACGCCACTCTTAGCGTGATGGAGGGCCTGGACGAGCGTTATCAGGGCCGAGCGAGCGTCTCCTTCCTCGTGAACGCACGTCAGATAGTTGTGCATTTCAATCACTGCCTGTGGATGTACACGCATAGCTCAGGAAGACTTAGACAAAAAATTGTGTTGTACCTTGTGATCCATCTCGGCCACCTCGTTCATCACCCCCTTGAACCACTGGAAGGAGCCTTGTTCTTTGGTCACCCAGTAGAAGTAAGCGTGGCTTGGACAGCGTCGCGGGGACTGCTGGTACTCCGGCTTCCCCGTCTGAGTGTTGAGCATGTCCCTGAGAATGCTGATAAACGGCGTTGCCCCGATTCCAAGTCCGACAAGGAGCATCACGTCGTATTTGCGGTAATCCTGCGCTGCAGCTCCGTAAGGTCCATCTATGTAAAGCTTTGGAAATCTGTTCATGCATTCAGTTTGATTGTGCCTTTCGGTTTTCTTTTGAGAAAATTTCACTCATTACCTTCTGAGTGCGCCTTCGTCACCACTGTCTTCTCCTTGTGCTTCGATCTCCTAATGTCTGTGGTAAGAACTCGAGCACAATCGAGAATCATTGTGCACCTTTGCGAATGTCCTCATGATCTCTTCCGTCCAGTCCCCCAAGCTGCGAACATGAACACTGAGGTGTTCATCTCCTGGTGCTGACGTGATTGAAAACGGGTGCCTACATCGCATACATGTAAACATTGTATACGAGAAGTTTCAAGGTCTTACCATTCGAATGGCGATATTGAGGGGCATTGAATAAAGATGTACATCCCACTCTGGTATTTAAAGCCGGGAGGTTTTGTCATGTGAAGAGACAAAACATTTCCGGGAAAAATGGCAGCCTAGAAAACAAACGAGTTCATTGATCTGGTAAGTTACAAAAAATTAGTATAATTACCTGTACAATGTCAACCTTGTAAATGCATGCTCTAGATACTCTCAAAAACCGTTCTCCAATGTAAAGAACTGTTGGAACAAGAATGTACAACCACGTCTATGGAGAAAAAACATTAGTATATTGACAAATACTGACACACATACCGTTTTCTCTGACCATTTGTGCGTGAGGAAAAGTAATGTCGAGTGAACAATCAAGAGAGCGTAGACAATGGCGAACAGATGGTGAGAATACCAGAACACGTTGAACCCGGTAAGTTTGTCAAAGGGTCGGCGGAGCTTGAGCCTGTTCTTCCTCGCGAGGTTGGTCGCAAGAAGAAACGACACGGCCATCAATATAACCATCGCGATCCCTGTCACGCCTTCGACGGACATGACCATGCCCAGCATAGAAGGCTGGCAGCCGTGAAAGTCTCTTCCCAGAGTACGCATGAAAGTCTTCGACTCTGCATTGGCAATGCGGGGGAAGTCACAGGTCAAATGAGCTCCTCCGTGAATAAGCACTCCCAAACAAATAGCTCCTGCCACTGTCTGTGTATGAAAACAGTAAACAAAGAAGCTTACAGAAAAAAAGAAATGGACTTTTTTACCTTGTGAAAGCTGATGCTGTCATCGAAGGGAATCACTGAGCCGAGCCTGGTAGAGCGGAGCCACGTTATAGTGTTTCTACAAACAGGGAAAAGGATGAGTGCCATGTTGAGCTTGAGTGTCTCGGCAGCACCTTTGGCCATGCTCACGCAATACCCCATCACTTCAAAGCCGGACCGGTAGCTGTACTGCATGGACTTCCACATAAACAGCGCGGCCATGGCTCCAAACCACACGCCAACAATCCAGAGTCGACGCCAATCCTCTTGGAAAGCATTCTTGGTGCTGCAAGCAAGGAACTGTAGCCTCCCCAGCCTTTCGGCGTTACACGGGTAATGGCTCTGGTAGTGCTGCCGGAACGAATCAGCCTCAAAGGCGCGCTTGCTTAATAAGCTCTCGAGCTGTGATATCTGTGATGAAGATGATCGAGTCGAGTTTGAGTAAAGAATGTAATCGAAGACGAGAAAGAAAAACTTACGCCAACTTCGCCTTTCTTCTCACGATCCAGTTCTTCCATCAACAATGCCGCGTACTCCTCCGCCTGCTCGTCGAGAATCGAGAGTCGGTTGGCCGACGCGCTCAGAAGGATGGCCTGAGAGTGATCAACCATAAGCCTGGAGAAAATACGAAACTAGCTCGAACGTACACTTTTTAGCTCCGACCCACTGATCTTTCCATCCCGGTCTCGATCGCATCTGCGAAGCACACGATCGATCGATCACAGGGCATTTCTAGAAAGAAATCCTTACAGATCGAAGAAGATTTGCATCCTCGAGGCGGTCGTCTTGTCTGTGAGATCCATCCAGAGATCCCAGAGCTCATCCTTGCCAATGTCGTGACGATCCTCGACGGCGCTGGTGGTGACGCCCCGGGAGTGCGCTCTCCGGCGCCGCAAGACGCCCAGGAGCTCCGCGGCAAACTCCTCGCTCTCCGGCATCCCTGCATTGCGATCAAAGAAACCTAATACTCCACAAGAACCAAGAAAATCGTCCTCTAAATACCAATGCACGCGCCAAATCGGCCAGGCGGGAGCTTTCCATCGCTGCTCGAGAGCTTCTCGAATCGCTCCATCACTCTGTGCCACACCGCCTCGTCCCCAGCGCTCTCCGTGCGCTTGTCGATAAAGCGGAGGCCCTCCAGCGCGCTAGTCACATTGTTCCTGGCAGCACTGGCATCCTCGTCCTCCACCACCGGCATTACGCGAGCATTGCTCCTAGCCATGGCGCTGCCGGAGCTCTCGCTATCGATCACAAGCTCGACAAATCCCGGCTGATCCACCAGCGGCTGTTCGTGCGATCCCTCGAAATATTTTGCCGCCTCTTCCTGCTCGTCCGCGCGAGGAATTTCCCCAGGAACACTGCCGCTGCCGCTCGAAATCTCATCCTTCCCGGCCGGCATTTGCGAATCGCGAGCGCCGGATTGAGAATTCCGCACCCCCTGCGTGAAGATCGAGCCTTGCAGAAAGCCTGGAATGGGGATTTCTTGCGCGCTTTCATGCATTGCACTGCAAGGCAGGCGGGAGAGAACTGCGCGCCACCAAACACCAAGATTCCAGAGCGCCGATCGATCGAAGGCGAGAAAAAAAGGAGTGCCTTTTGATCCAATCTAACAGCGCGCTGGAAGGAACTGACGATCGATCGCGACGGCATACGAACATTTGGGCTTGGCAGAAGAGGAGTACACACACAAAGGAGAGGAGGGAAGCGTTTCTATTTGCATTTAAAACCGGTGGGTGGAAATAGGTAGTGATCGATCTTCAAAGCAATGAAATATCGATCGATCCATCGCTCCATCGCCTGCCCCGTGTTGGTAGTTCTCTCCCTTTATATCCTTTCTTTCTTCGCATCTTCTTCGCTCTTCTTTAATGTGGGAGAGTTTAAGTTCTTCCTGGAAGGAAGAATTAGCAGCCATTGGACAGACTTTGGTGCCATTGGAGCCTAGGGTTCTTGGGCGATGCCCACTGATGCCCAGATATTCGCTGATGTCCTCAAATTGTGTGCCCAATCGAAGGATCTCAGCACTGGCAAGCAAATTCACCAGAGGATCATTCACAGCCGCCTCGATCGCAATCGCTACCTTTGCAATCTTCTCATCGATATGTATGGGAAATGCGGAAGCATCCAAGGCGCGAGATTGGTGTTCCAAGCAATCGACAGGCCCAATCCTTTTACCTGGAACATTGTCATAGCTGCAAATGCCGCGAATGGGCATTTGGAAGAGGCCCGTAGCCTCTTCGATCGAATGCCCAAAAGAAACTCCGTGTCGTGGAACACAATTATCTCAGCTTACGCCCAACACGGCAGATTAGACGAAGCCTGCCATCTCTAGACTGGACTTAAGGTTTGGTTACACTCCCCGCAGGCACAAGCAGCCAAGCACACCAAACCTCCAGGTTCCTAACATCGCCCAGATCCTCAATCAGCAGTGCAACCAGATATCCTGGAACGTAATCGTCCAGGCTTGTGCTCTAAACGGGCGCAGGAGCTATTTTTTTTATACGGTGAGGTCTCGTTCGGAGTGAAGCTCTTGTGCTATGCCGGAGCTGCTACACCAAACGTGTAGTCCTACTAACTTGCTCCTCTCGGCTGGTTAGGGTGCTGATGCGAGGAAGACGACTTGGAACCTTTAAACACTACAAGGCAAAAACCCTATTTTAGGCATAGGGCTATGGAAGGAAAGATTCCGGTGGTGGATGCCATGCGTTGGCGATCGCGTGGCCGAATGGTTCCGCAGCGGCATAGGCTCCAGACTGCTGATGGTTGTGGGGGCAACGTTCTCTCACTTTGGGCTGGAGCTGGATCATCCCCCGGGTGCGTGGTTCTTTGAAGTCCTGCCCGACTCCACCGTCTCTTCCACTGTGTCGGAGCTCAAGTGGAAGATCTGGACTGTGGCCGTCGCACGCGTCCTTGGCGCTACCGTGCCGGATGGCTACTTGCACCTCTTCATCGCGGCCGACTACTTCACGCGCCATAGCCCACATCAAGAGCAATCTAGAAATCCTCATCCCCGCCCCGAGTGCTGCACAGGCCGCTGCACGTACGCCCTGACCGACCTCCACCTTGTGAGTGCTTGTTTGGATCGTGTGGCAAAGTGTTATGGTTTTTCCTTTTTTGCAGCTCGAGGAGTCGGACGCCATCGTCTTTCCCATTGGTCATCACAGATGAATATGTGTCAGGTAGCTCTTGTTTGGATTCCTCTCAAACTGAGAGCTTGGTTCCTTTTCCACAGCCATCGTGTCGATATTGTTTCCTTGCACTCTCTCGCCCACTTGCGTTGCTGATGCCGCTCTCCTGTTCGATGCGAGCGGCAAGGTTTGTGTCGTCGTCTTCACCTGGCTGTTGCTCCAGCTGCAGAGCAACAAGCAGCCGCTGGAATGGCTCGACGCATTCGAAGCACAGGCTATAGCAGGTGACCGTGGTGGCGGTGGCGGAGCCGGACCCCTGGAAAATCTCTTGCTGCTGTTCCTGAGCAAACAAGCACCGCCGAAGGATGAAAAGTTCTCCCCGGCATCCTTGGACGAGCTCAAACGGATACGTTCCTGCATCGAGAACGCGCCCAGGATAGAGTGGAAGTCCATGGACATCACCGTCGCTCTGCGCCAGATGTTGGAGGTATGATGATTGACACCGTTTTGATTTGAGAGAGCATTCAAGCTTCTGTGTGGCAGGAGGTGATGGCAGCGGGAGAAATCCAATGGGACAACCAGATGCGTGCCCGGCTCGAGCAGTGGATCCAAGGCCACTACAACTTCCACCGCGTGGAGCCGCTCTTCCAGGAGTACGCAGACGTGAGCGTGCCGATAGCGCGCCTGATCTCTACATGGATGCACACGAGGAAGGGATGCCGCGACCACGCCGAGCTCAAATCCCTGTGCTCGGCAGCGACATCATCGGAGTCGATTGTGGAGCACATCCAGGCTACGATGAGCCGGGGAAGCAGCGACGAGTGCCGCCAGCTTTGTGACGCGGCTGCCACCGTCTTTGGCAATGACTACGGTAGCCTTTTCGTGGAGATTTGCGCCAACGTGCAGTGGGATCCATGCCTGACCGCGTGCTCTCTAGAAGAATTCGGGGCGATCAAGCCGGCAGCCTGGGACGGACTCTTCCGGACCGCGAGCTCCGAAAACACGCTTCGAAGGCACCGTTTCGACGATGGCAGCCGCAACGAGGGCATATGGAGACCTCGGATTTCCGACATGATCCTCTACATAGTTTACGTAAGCATGAGAATGATTCCATCCATCGCTTACGAGTTTGCTGCTGCAGCTGATCCTCGAGGACTGCTTGGGCGCCAGCGTTGATCGTGAGAGGTGGAAACGAGAGTGTGAGTCTATACAGTGCCTTTCTCTCTGCTCAATCGTGATCCTTTTTGCTTGGATCGTCACAGGCAAGTCACTGCTGTATACCAGACGTGGGGGGCAGCGCGTGTCCCGCAGTGGGAAAGGGGTTTTTGTTGCGATTAGCAACTCCACCAGAGGAATCTGTGAGGCGTTTGCGGCGTGGATCCAGTCTCCAAGCACGCAGAGGGACTTGGGAGCGAGCTCGGATGAGATACGTCATGGCATAAGAGAGGCAGTCGTCTCGGCTGGTGGAGTGGAGTATGACGAGGACAGGCAGCAACTCTGGGCCGGGATGCAAGAGCTGCTGGGTGTCACTGGCAACATTTGGATTTGCATGCTTGCTCGTGCCTATGTGCAGCACGAACACCACTTTGGTGCTTTAAAAAATGCCGCAAATTATTCCGCTGAAGATCTGCCCACAATTGTCCGCAAGCGTTCAGGCCCAGAGAGTACACCAAGGATCGAAGTTTTCCTCGGCCTCGGCAGCGCTTCCAGGATTTGAGTTTTGCTTTTGCTAGAGAAGTTTCCCTGCAATTGAGATTTCTTTCAAAGCCAGGCTAATCTGCTATTTGCTGAGGCTGTCAAACCGGGACCCAAAAGGAAGCACACCTTTTCTAGTAGGAGAGTCTGCCGCTAGAATTGATTCGCCCCAAGAAGTACTGCCACGTCAGCACGGTCGAAGGCTTCACTTGCTATTAATAGGAAGTGAAGCCCTATAGAATTATATAGATAGGACTAATTATTGATGCCATAAGCAACAAAGGCTCGTGAGCCTTTTCGACATGCTCGCAAAGAGTCGTAATCAAACTCCCTTTCACTCAGAGCTTTTCTCCTTGATACAGATACAAGAAGGTCGTGGACGCCAATATCAACGTCAAGGTTGCGGTTGCGAAGCTCGGTCAGGTGGAAGAGGTTCCTCTGAAGGTTGGGTAATGATGGATTGACTACAGATGTTTCAATAATGCAAGTTTTCTTGCGGCCAACAGAGCTACATATCTACACCGATTTTTTCGCGCATTGTTCTGGGACGATCCTAATTCCTAGAAAACCGAAGGTGAGCATTCTCTTTGTAGCGAGCTTCTTATCCTAAGCTTTCGTTTCCAGGTTGTGTATGCGCTTTTGCACAGACAAGAGTTGTTTCAACCGTTTAAGGAGCATCCTCGTTTCTATGAGCTTCTGGAGAACATATTCAGTGTGAGTTTCTGGTCGAATTGCTCTCCAATGCTTGACGTTTTCATGCGGCGATGCATAGGTTCTAGACTTTTTCAACGTCCGCAACTTTTTCAACCAAGATTCGAGAGCGCCGATCGATCGAAGGCGAGAAGAAAAGGAGTGCCTTTTGATCCAATCTAACAGCGCGCTGGAAGGAACTGACGATCGATCGCGACGGCATACGAACATTTGGGCCTGGCAGAAGAGGAGTACACACACAAAGGAGAGGAGGGAAGCGTTTCTATTTGCATTTAAAACCGGTGGGTGGAAATAGGTAGTGATCGATCTTCAAAGCAATGAAATATCGATCGATCCATCGCTCCATCGCCTGCCCCGTGTTGGTAGTTCTCTCCCTTTATATCCTTTCTTTCTTCGCATCTTCTTCGCTCTTCTTTAATGTGGGAGAGTTTAAGTTCTTCCTGGAAGGAAGAATTAGCAGCCATTGGACAGACTTTGGTGCCATTGGAGCCTAGGGTTCTTGGGCGATGCCCACTGATGCCCAGATATTCGCTGATGTCCTCAAATTGTGTGCCCAATCGAAGGATCTCAGCACTGGCAAGCAAATTCACCAGAGGATCATTCACAGCCGCCTCGATCGCAATCGCTACCTTTGCAATCTTCTCATCGATATGTATGGGAAATGCGGAAGCATCCAAGGCGCGAGATTGGTGTTCCAAGCAATCGACAGGCCCAATCCTTTTACCTGGAACATTGTCATAGCTGCAAATGCCGCGAATGGGCATTTGGAAGACGCCCGTAGCCTCTTCGATCGAATGCCCAAAAGAAACTCCGTGTCGTGGAACACGATTATCTCCGCTTACGCCCAGCACGGTAGATTAGACGATGCCTGCCATCTCTTCGCCCATATCCCCGATCAGCAGCGCGACGAGATATCCTGGAACGCAATTGTCCAGGCTTGTGCTCTAAACGGGCGCTTGGATCGAGCGCAGGAGCTATTCGATCGAATGCCGCAGCACAGCATGATCTCCTCCACCGCGCTTGTCGCGGCGTACGCGAGGAGCGGAGATCTCTCCCGGGCGAGAGCGATCTTCGATCAAATGCCGGATCGCGATGCTGTCTCCTGGATCGCGATGGGGAGCGCTTACGCCCAGATCGGCAATCTCATCGAGGTCAAGAGCCTGTTCGATCGATCACAGACTCTCCATCGATCCTCACAGAATGCGCTCGTCCTGGAATCCTGGAATGCCCTTCTCGTGGCATATGCCCGGAATGGGCATCTGGCAAATGCCAAGCAAGTGTTCGATGAGATTCCCCACAGGGACATCGTGACGTGGAACTCGATGCTCCAATCGTTCGCGGAGGCAGGCCACGTGGAAAGCGCGCGGGAGATATTCCTCTCCATGCCCGAGAGAGACGTGGTTTCTTCCACCGCGGCGATGGTGGCGGTAGGGCAAGAGAGTGCGCGGGAGATCTTCGCTGAGATGCCCCAGAAGAATCTCATCAGCTGGAACACGATCATGACGATCCACTCGCGGAGTGGCGATGCGATCGGCGCCAGGAGACTGTTCGATCGCATGCCCGAGCGCGATCTCGTGTCGTGGAACACTATGATCGCGGCGTATTGCCAGTCGGGGCGAATGGAGGACGCGGAATCGCTGCTAGAATCGATGCCCGTCTGGGATCCAGTGTCGTGGATCTTGATGATATCCGGCTATGGCGAATTTGGCGATGTGATCCAGGCCAAGCACGCGTTTGATTTGATCCCAGACCGGGACAGCGTCGCTTGGAGCGCGATTATCTCTGCGTATGCTCGAAATGGGCATTCCAGAGAGGCGCTGGCGCTGTTTTGCCGGATGGATCTGGAGGGCATCCCGCCCGAGCAATCCAGCCTTGCCAGCGCCATCGATGCTTGTGCGGCCCTCTCATCGCTCGCGCTGGGCAAGATCATTCACTCCATGGCGATCGATGCCGGATTTGCCTGGGATGTGATCGTGGCGAGCGCGCTTGTGGATCTCTATGGCAAATGCGGGCGGTGGGAGACGGCCATGGCGATCTTCGAGAAGATGCCGCGGAAGAACACGGTTTCCTGGAGTGCTGTTCTCGCCGCCAGAGCCAGGAGCGGGGCTGGCGGCACCGCGGCGGCGGTGGAGATCTTTGGGCGAATGGCGCTGGAGGGATTCGGCGCCGATCCAATCGCGTTCGTGACCGCGCTCTACGCGTGTAGCCATGGCGGATTGCTGGACAAGGGATTGAGCCTCTTCGCATCGCTGAGCAGCGATTTTGGGATGGATCCGTGGGGGGCGCACTACGTGTGTGTGATCGATCTCCTCGCCCGGTCGGGGCAGCTTGGGAGATCCGAGGAGCTTATCGCGAGCATGCCATTCGAACCTGGGATTGTGGCGTGGTCGTCGCTGCTCGGGGCGAGCAATCTCCAGGCGGATGTATGGAGAGGGCGTCGCGCTGCCGAGGAAGTCTCGAAGCGCTCCTCCCAAGAACCCTAAAAACAGAGTGATGATCTATCACAGTCGATTGAGATGAAATTCTATGCTCGCAACTCGATCGGGCATTTCCGAGGCGGCGATCTATGCGCAGCTCATCCGCAGCTGTGGATCCGAGAGGAATCTCGACCGTGCGAGGCAGATCCATGCCCGGATCATCGCCGCCGATTACCCGCTGGATCGCTACCTGAACAATCTGCTCGTGGAGATGTATGGCAAATGCGGTGGCGTGGAGGACGCGCGCCGCGTCTTCGACGCCATTCGCGATCCCAACCAGTTCTCCTGGAATCTCATGCTCTCCGCGTGGATCCATGCCCGCAGCGGTGGCGGCCTCCACCGCGCGCGATCGTTCTTCGATGAAATGCCGCAGCGTGACACCGTATCGTGGAACGAGATGATCACGGCATATTCCCAAGCCGGGCACCTACACGAAGTCAGGGCTCTCTTTCGCGATATGCCCAATCCTGACCTAATCTCGTGGAATACGCTCCTTTCAGCAAATGCCCAAAAGGGGTTTCTGGAAGACTCTAAGCAACTCTTTAGAGATATGCCTTGCCATGACATGGTATCATGGAACTGTCTAATCTCCTGCTTTGCACAAGATGGAGATTTGGACAAAGCACGAGCTTTGTTTCACAAGATGCCCCAATGGGACATAATTACGTGGAATACACTTATTTCGATTTATGCCCAAGCCGGGCATCACAGGGAGTGCAAAGACTTGTTTGAGACGATGCCACGTCGGAACGTGGTGACGTGGACGGCCGTCCTTGCCGTACATGTCCAAAACGGCCAGGTGGTCGAGGCCCGACGGACGTACGACCGGATGCCCGAGTGGGACGTTGTGTCGTGCTCGGCTATGGTGACGGCATATGCCCAAGCCGGGCATTTGGAAGAGGCCAGCGAGATCTTTAGAGGAATGAAGCAGCGCAACACGGTGGCGTGGACGTCGCTCCTGGCGGCATATGCGCAGGCCGGGAACTTCCAGCGCGCGAAAACATTGTTTGCGGAGATGCCGGAGAAGACGGTCTCGGCCTGGAACTCGATGATCACGGGCTATGGCCTCCACGGGCACTTGAGCGAGGCGCGCCGGTTCTTCCTCGAGGCCCCCGCGAGGGACACGGTCACCTGGAACGCGATGATCCAGGCGTGCATTGATAATCTTCGCTTCCAGGATGCCAAGGGCCTGTTCGATCAGATGCCCCACCACGACGTCCTCTCCTGGAACTCGATGATGGTGGGATTCTCGCAGCTCGGGGAGCTCCGCGAGGCGGAGCGTCTCTTCCGATCCATCCCGGAGAGGAATGTGGTTTCTTGGAACACGATGATCGCCACTTACGCGCAGCATGGATTCGTCCTCGAGGCCGCGGAGCTCTTCGATCGTATCCCCCGCCGCGACATCGTCACCTGGAACGCGATCATCTCCGGGTTCGGTCAAAACGGGCTTGCCGAGGAGGCCAAGGCGGCGTTCGAGCAAATGCCCGAGAGGAACATGGTTTCCTGGACGGCCGCGATCGCGGCGTTGTCCCAGAACGGACGGCTGGATGAGGCCCGGGACCTGTTTGAAAGAATGCCGCGCCGCGACGTGGTGGCGTGGAGCGCTATAATCGCCGCGAACGCCCAGAACGGCCGTGGGTGGCAGGCGATACGCCTCTTCCGCCTCATGGACCTCGACGGCGTTCGCCCGGACATCAGTACATACGCCAGCGTTCTCGACGCGTGCGCGGGCGTTGGATCGCTGGGCCTGGGCCGCCTCGCGCACGCCGACGCCGTCCACGCGGGCGTCCACGTCGACGTCGTCGTGGCGGGAGCGCTGGTCAACATGTACGGCAAGTGCGGCCAGCTCGGCCCCGCGCGGCGGCTCTTCGACTCCCAGCAGGTAAGGAACGCGGTGACGTGGACCGCCATGGTGGCGGCATATGCCCAGAACGGCCATGGCGCCCAGGCGCTTGAGCTCTTCCACGTCATGAACGCCGAGGGCGTGGGCGCGTGCTCGGTTGTCTTCGTCAGCATCCTCTCCGCGTGTAGCCACTTGGGACTGGTCCGCCAGGCACGGGACTACGTCCACTCCATCACCCGCGACCACGGGATGGCGGTGACGTGGGACCACTACCACTGTATGATCGACGTGTTTGGACGGGCAGGATGGCTCCTCGAGGCCGAGGAGCTCATCACGAGCATGCCCTTCTTGCCCGGGGACGTTGCATGGACGACTCTGCTATCGGCGTGTAAGCTCCACGGTGACAAGCACCGAGGTAACCGAGCCGCGGACGTGGTGATCGAGCAAGAGGACTCGGACCAAGTCGGCTCGGCTTTCATGCTCTTGAGAAACGTTGTAACGGATCCTCAAATTGTCTTTCAAAGTTAATCCAAGCCAAAATTAATTTTACATCCAGTTCTTGCCAGCTGAGAAGTTTCGTCTGTGCCTATACACCACCATCCTTTGATTTTGGAGAGAGAGGAGAGAACCCAGAGAGAGTAGAGGCTTACGTTGTTTTGTCCGCTTTCTTATGTCTGCATTGCCTCTGCGTGATAGTTCTCTAGATCAGCATCCAGCTCTTGGGCCGACTTCACTACGGGCTTTCCTCCTCCCTTGCCTTTACCGCCGGCGGCGCCGCCCAGCAGACCACCTTTAGGTCCCCCGGCGATGGCAGGCTTCCGCCGGATTCGCTTCCCAATCCGGCCTCGTCCGGGAGTTCGTAAGCCGCCGCCGCCGCCGCCGCCGCCGTTCGTGTTGCTCACAGCGTTGACACTGCTCCGAGTTTTTAGAACTTGCACAATCGATCGGTGAGGACGTACCTGGCAGCAAAGGCGGTGGCAATGTTAGTGCCCAAGCACTCGATCTTCATGGGCTTTCCATCGAGTTGGACATTGTTATAGTGCTTCATCGCCTTGAGTGCATCGTACTTCCTGGCGAAGACCACGTCCGCTGTACACTGCAATTCAAAAACAAAAAAGCAGTCAGAAATTTTTAAAACAATCCTGGAGGGAAATACCTTTGATCTTCCACTTCTGTCGAAGTGGACTGCGCACCGCTTCAAGTCTCCCTGCTCGGAGAAGAGCTCCTGCCAAGAGAAGAGAACACCCAACATGAGAAAAAGATAAAAGCATCACGAGACAAAAACACAAACCTTGATATCGTCAGTGGAGACGCCGTGGTCGAGGTTAGAGATAAAAAGCTTGGTGCCAGTCTCAATACCGACGGGCTTAGTCCGGGCACCACCACCCACGAACCCATCTTCAAACATGTCATGCTGCCAAGCACCGGCACCGGCACCGACACCGGCACCCTCTGGAGCACTCCGCCGAGAACGCTGAGAAAAAGAAGAAGATGAGACCACCGCGCCATTCTAGAGCCGGTTCCTAGAGCTTGCCTTTCCAATGGAAGACGGTGTCGTCCGGGGCCCGAGGCGGTTAGGGGCGTTACGGATAGGGCCCGAGGCCCGAGAACCGCCGGCACCACCGCCGCCCCCCCGCCGCCTCTTGCCGGCGCCTCTAGCCCCGGCCTTGTTGCTCTTGATAATATCATCCAAGGACTGATCTATGTTCGACATGGCCGAGGAGCTGGACGGATCGACCGAGATCGTTGCCACTGTGAAAAAGAAGACCCAAATAGAGGCTTCAGTACCAAAGATGAGTGGATCCAAGCTTGGCGAGGAAGAGGACGATGACACAAATCAGCGCAGCCAGGCGAAAGAAGGAGATTACGACCCAGTAACAGGCAGAGAACTCTTTTTTTCTGATGCGTGGTATGTGTGTGTGGAGGCGGCAGAAGATCAGCATCAAAGGGCAACAAGAAAAAGGAAATTTCTTGCGGAGAAATCCTAGATCTTTGAGCTCGAGAGGAGAAGAATCACGATACGATACCAGTACTGCTTCAAATCGGCGATCCGCGACGGCGCGCCTTGCTCTTGAAACCCTACCCCAAAGGCGAAGCCAAAATATCACCGGGGCTGACCTAAAAAATGGAGGTAACGTCGGTTCCGTCTATAGATCTTTCAAGCCTCCAGCGGAATATTCCGTCAGGGCGTTTTTAGGGTTCTAGCGGGGGAGAGAGAGGAAGCCGCAATGCCGAAGTCGAAACGCAACAAGCTAGGTGAGCGATAGAATGCGCGATTTTCTCGCTCTCATCGTGATTTTCTCGCAGTTACATTGTCCAAGACGAAGAAGAAGGGCCGGGAGCACAAGGAATCCATTGTTACCGCCGTGAGGAAGGCCTCGGAGGAGTTTAGGGAGCTCTATGTCTTCTCCTTCGAAAATATGCGCAATGGGAAGTTCAAGGCTCTCCGGGACGAGCTCAAATCCAGCACCAGGTCTAAATTCCTTTCTTTGTTCTTCGCTGCTGGATCTGTGACAAAATGTGGCTATACACAGATTTTTCCTTGGATCGAACAAGGTTCTGCAAATAGCGATTGGAAAGGGCCCTTCCGACGAGGTGAAGGAAGGGATCCATAAAGCCAGCGAGTTCCTTTGCGGGAACACGGGAATGCTCTTCACGAATTTGCCAAACGAAGAGGTGGCCAGGTTCGTTTTGAAGAAAAAATTTGCTTCATCGCTCTAAGGGGAATGATATCGCAGGATTTTCACAGACTTCGAGGAGCTGGATTTCGCTCGAACTGGCAGCACGGCGACTGAAACGGTGCGTGTAGACAATGCTTTTGCTTTTGCGTGGTTTTCTTCGTGTAGCTCACTGTGAGTGACTACACAGGTGGAACTCAACGAAGGCCCACTGGAGCAATTCACGCACGAGATGGAGCCATTTCTGCGAAAGCAAGGAATGCCTGTTCGTCTAAACAGAGGTATGAAGATCAAGCGAGAGCTAGACTAACTCCGGCTTGCAGGCGTTGTGGAGCTGGTCGGCGATTACACCGTGTGTCGAGAAGGCGAAGCAATCTCGCCAGAAGCATCGCGGATACTTGTGAGTCATCACAAAAAACCATCGCTTCTAGCGCTCTAATGTTTCTTCTTTCCTTGCAGAGGCTCTTGGGAGTGAAAATGGCTCCCTTTAGAATGAGCCTTTTGTGTCGCTGGAGTCCCAATGGATTTAAAGTTTTGAAAGCTCCCGAGAGCCAAAAGGCTTTGCAATAAGAAAAACAAATATTTAAACTTGTGTGAAGAGCCCTAGCTTGCCCTAAATTTTGAGCATGGCGGACGCGCGGAATGCTCCACAGATCCTCCAGCACGTCTCCAAGACGCTCACCTGCACGATCTACGACACGCTCTGGGTCCCCAGCAGGTAATCTGTGTGGAATCCGTGGGAAAAACTTAGCTCTAGCAGCGAGCTACTGGGAATTTTTGATGCAGTGCGCGGTTCGTTCTCTTGGGATCGAGTGCGCGCTCCACAGGGACTATCCAGGTTAGAAACGCATTAATGCAGGGATCTCTACTTTACAGCTTTTCTTTCTTGGCTTCTTTCTTCTTTCCTGGTTTAAAACGAGAAGTTCTTTCTTATTTGCTTCCATAAACTCAGGTCTATGAGCTTCAAGGGAACGATGTCAACAAGCTCGAAGAGGTTTGTTCTTGATGCGTACTGTGGCTGGAAATCACGTAAAAAATTCGAGTTTTCAGGTGGACAAGCAGTTTAGTTTCAAGTGTGGGACGTTTGGTGCCTCGGACCTCGTAAGCACCCTGTATCTGGTGCTAAATAGTTGGATATTATTTTTTCTTTTGCTTCAGGTGAATCGTCAGCTAGCAACAGGGGATTTTAAGGGAAACTTGCAAATCTGGGACCTCGAACGACTTGGTTATCCCGTCTATCATTGCAAAGGTAGATAGCTGTTTTGTTCTTCCCGACAAACCATAGTTTTTAACACTTCCGCAGCTCATGAAACAATCATCAATGCGATTGATGGCGTTGGAGGCTCGGGGCTTGGTTTTGGAGCTCCAGAAATTGTTACGGGATCACGGGATGGTACTCTTCTGTTTAGCATATGTTCTGATTGATGAACTCCATTTCCTCAGGACGTGTTTGTGTATGGGATCCTCGGCAGAAGGACGAGCCAGTGAGTACCGTGTGGCATAGTTTTCTTTCTAGAATTTATATCGAATAAGCTGTGCTAGGTATCTTCGTTTGAGCCGGAGCGAGCAGACGCTGCAAGAGACTGCTGGACAGTAGCATTTGGTAAGATGGCTGTGTCGCGTTTTTTCCTTCACCATGGCAAATTCTGGCATTGGCAGGAAATTCATACAATGACGAAGAACGTTGTGTTGCAGCCGGTACTATTTCCACTTTTGCCTCTTGTGCTGAGTTCGCTGCAGTGGCTGGTTTCTTTTATTTCAAGGCTACGATAATGGTGACATAAAGCTTTTTGATCTAAGGACTGGAAGCGTTCGCTGGCAGACCACAGTTCGGAATGGAGTACGTAAACGTGAACTTGAGCTTGAGCTTCTAAGTCTAATAAACTGCTGCAGGTTTGTGGTGTTGAGTTTGATCGCAAGGACGTCAAAATGAACAAGCTTGTGGCAACAACACTGGAAGCGACCTTTCATGTAAGTATATTCCATTCCACCTTAACTTTCAAGAAAGCTGAGAGCTTCTGGCAGGTTTATGACATGAGGACTCATCACCCAGAAAATGGCTACTCGTCCCTGACCGAGAAGGTGAGCTTTTGCTGGTATTTCTCGACTTTTTATCTTTAGCGTTGTGATTTGAATCACAGGTATCTCACGGGACAACGATCTGGGGAGTGAAGCACCTCCCACAAAACAGAGATATCTTCGCCGTTTTAGGTGGTGATGGCTCTGTCAGCATCTACAAGTATTCGTATCCGGATCAACGATCGATGAAGGACGTCGATGGGAAATCTTACGGAGTAAGGACAATTCACATCTTCCATCTGAATTGTCTCACAATTCTTTGCTTTTGGTGACAGGTTCTGGGTCAAGTTCACCTTTTGTCGTCCAAAGTTCTCTCGACACAACCAATAGGTGCATTCGGCTGGTTCGTCTTTGCGTGAAAAAAAGAAAAATCTGGTTTAGTGGTGCTGATGGAAATGTTGCAGGAGTCCTGACAAGGAGGGTCTAGCTGTTTTGGGCTCTTTCGATCAGTGTTTGCGAGTTGGAATTGTGACCAAGTTGAGCAAGAGTTAACTAGAAAATACTTCACGGGTATGCCACTTTGCATTCGAAAGTAATGGAAGTTGGCAGCGACATTCAAGAGTATGTTTCCAGACTGAAGTTGTGTGGCAAAACTAGAAATTTGACTGAAGGCAGACGCATTCACGCATCTCTATCAAAGAGCCTGCATTGTGCAAATAGATTTCTGGCCAATTTAGTGATAGAGATGTATGGGAAGTGTGGCGATGTCGCAGGAGCCAAACAAGTTTTTCATGGACTCGGTAGTCCTAATGTCTACTCCTGGAATCTCTTGCTGGCCGCTTATGCCCACAACGGGCATTTGGAAGAATCCAAGAGAATCTTTGATTCTATGCCGGAGCAAAACATCGTGTCTAGTAATGCCATGCTTGCGGCGTATGCTAAGGGCGGGGACCTTGATAAAACGAAGGATTTTTTCGAGGCACTGGCCCAGAAGGATGAAATCTCAATCACCACCATGCTCCTGGCATATGCCCGTAACGGGCATGCCGATCAAGCAAGGGTTTTGTTTGATCAAATGTCCAACAAAGACATGGTTTGCTACACGACTCTAATCACAGCATATGCCCAAAGCAGGAAAGTTGCCGAGGCAAGATACTTGTTTGATAGAATGCCGGAACGCGACGTTGTATGTTGGAACGCCATGATCTCCTCGTATGCCCAACAAGGGCATACAGACCAGGCATATAATCTTTTCAAGAATATGCCTCTCCCGGACGTGATAACATGGACGGCTGTGATCAGCGGGTACGCCCAGCATGGCCAACTTTCCCACGCAAAGGACTTGTTTAACAAGATGCCCCAGAGGAGCCTCGTCTCCTGGACGGCTATGGTCACGGCCACGGCCAAGTACGGATGCACGGAAGATGCCTTTTTGATGTTCCACAAGATGCCCGAGTGGAGTACGGTCTCCTGCAATGCGGTGATTGCGTGCCTGGGCCACTTTGAGGATATTTTCGAGAGAATGCCGTACAAGGACATTGTGACGTGGAATGCCATGGCGCAAGCTTATGCCGCGTTAGGAGATTTTGGTAGTGTAAAGAGAATCTTTGACACCATGCCCGAGTGGGACATGGCCTCTTGGACAATCATGATACTGGAATATGCTCGCCACGGCCGTCTAGGAGATGCGAGGCTCTTGTTTGAAAAGATGCCTAACTGGGATTTGGTTTCGTGGAATGCTATGATCAACGCATATGCCACAAATGGGCAGTTAAGTGAATGTAGCAACTTGTTCATGCGGATGCCACAGCGTGACGCTTCTACTTGGAACTCTATGGTCTTTGCAAATGCCCATGCCGGGCATATAGAAAACGCGAAGTGGCTTTTCGACCTAATGCCGGAGTGGAATGTAGTGTCATGGACAGTGCTTCTAGCAGCATATGCCCAAGCTGGGCATCTGGCTTACGCCCGTGAGATGCTGTGTCAGCTGCCGTGCCAGCATGCCGTGCCTTGGAATGCCATGATCGGTGCGTATGCCCAGCTTGGGCATGGCATGGAAGCCATTCAAGCGTTTGGCGAGATGAAGAACAGGGGTGTGTCACCCGACAGCGTTACGTTCGTGAGTGTCATCGCTGCGTGTGTGAGCCTTGTGACCGCCGGAGTTAACTGGGAGCTCGTCCGCAGCGTTTTGAGCCAGATCGCTTATAGAGAAACCTGTGTCCTGAATGCCATCGTAGATATGTATGGTAAGCTTGGAGCCGTCGAGAGAGCTAGAAGAGTTTTCGACAGCATACCTCGGCCCACGACGGTTTCCTGGACGGCGATCATCTCGGCTTATGCTCAAAACGGATCACACCACGCTGCCCTGGAGCTTGTTCTTGCAATGGAAGCTGACGGTGTTAAGCCGGACGATGTTGCCTTTATCACCATTCTCGCGGCCTGTAGCCATGCCGGGTTACTAGCTCAAGGCAGGAAGTACTTCAGGTCCATGAGCGAGGACCACGGCCTTCTCCCGACGATGGACCACTTTAATTGCATGCTAGATCTCATGGGACGCGTTGGATATCTGCAAGAAGCTGATGAGCTCGTCAACAGCATGCCTTACTTGCCTGGATCCATGGCATGGACGTCGCTGTTTAGTGCGTGCATGCTACAGAGAGATGGTCGTCGTCGAGTTCTTTTTGCTGCTGAAAAGAGCTTGCGTCTTGACCTTAAAGATGCTGTTCCGTATCTAGCAGTATCAAACACACTATCTGCGTCGGAGAGAGGCCACAGTCTTAGAACGAAAGGAGGATGAAATTTTGCAGAGCGTTACCTGTTCGCATTCTTGATCGCCTGGAGTGGCCGGCGCTTGCACCTTCTTTTGCTGACGGGTGTAAGCTTCGGAGTCGCGTTTTCAACACCTGTAAATGCCTCACCGGGCTGGGACTGGACAGGAGGGCTCAAAACATCCAAACGCGTTGCCTGCCTCTTAACTCTTGGCGGCGTGTGGGCCTCCTTTGTTCTGGCAGCGTGAGATGGCGCTTGGTAGTGTAACATATCCTCGTGTACTTTCTGAGAGCTCAGAAGTTTCACTTTGAAGGGAGTCTCCGCCGTGAAGCACCCCGTTGTACAGCTTGGTGCATCCCGTTCAATTAGCACATTTCCATTGTTTACCTGCATTTGGAAGTTAACAAAACAGCAGGTTTGTAGATCACCAAATACCAGTTGCAGTAAAGCAGCGAAAGATCTTGCTACGTCGTGGCTGTCTTGCCCCTTCACTATCTGAGTAAAGGAGCTGACCCCATCAGATTGCTCCGGTGCTTCGTGTAAGCACCTCTCAATGATACGCTCCCCATAAACATGTATATCAAATGCAGGACGTGCATCCTACGAGAAATATCAGCAAAACGTTTGAAGTGTGAAGCGTGGACATACCTGCTCAGCCAATGACGCTTCTACCTTCACCTTCCAGTTCGAAACGCGAGAAGCTAGTTCAGCTCGGAGCTCAGCTTCTACCAATGTTTGCATCACAGAATCCTATATATGAGCAGCCAGGTGAGTAGATGTCGAGGAGGTGAAAACTTTCTACCCTTGTCGCATGACACAGCTTTTCAAAAGATGTTTCCCCCTGCTGCTCAGACGGCTCTGGAGCATTCAAAGGTTCTGTTTCTCCGCCAGCTTCTGGAACAGTGTTATCCCATGGTTCGAAGTTGTCAACGTTGTCAGGTTCATCATCAGATTCCGGAGGTTCTGCAGCTGTTTGAAAGTCCGGCTTCGCCTGGCAACGGGAACTAAAAGTAAAATATAAATGCCAAAAGCGGCATTACCTTCTCGGCGGTTCGAGAGTTGGTCTTTGTCGTCCTTTTAAGTCGGTCAGCAGCTTCCTTATCCTGTAGCGCCTCCAAGAACTCGCAAAATGTAGTCCCGTTTCTCGTAGCCATTGGAAACTCCACATCAACCACGGGGGCTTTAGTAGGCTTTTTCCTAGACAGAAGACCTGCGGAAAATCTCAGTTAACAAAGGATCAATGAAGATAGCTTTTACCTCTCTTATACGGCTTTACTAGAAGCGTTCCCGGTTCGTGAGGATTGAGCCGTGCCCAGGGATCGTCCTCATCATCTTGCTGTTGTTGCTCGTCCGCGTGTGGGATGTTGTTAGCACCTTCAAGGGGTGCATCGAAGTTAATGTTTCTCGCAGAACACGGCTCAAAGTCGTCTTCTGGACCTTCACAAAAATCATCTCCCGCATAAGATGGCCGAGTTTTTTTGCCAGAGCTGGCTCTACGACCCGGACTTGATGCTCTGTGGCTTCTCGATCGTGATGAGCTTGGAGGACGAGGAGTCGCTCTCTCAGCTCTAGGAACATATAAGTAGTTATCAACGGCCTCGGCATCGCAGGGGTCTAGAAGCAGGAAATCTCTATAAAGAAAGCTCGTTGCAATCTGGAAAGGAAAACCAAAACAATGAGAATCCAGAAGTAGAAAAAACCACTGACCTGGTAAGTTGACAATTCACCACCGTTTTTCATCGTCTCGAAAGCATCCCCTTCGACAACGAGAAGACTTGTAGGAGGCCTGTTTAGAGAAGGCGTGATGCCGATACTCTCGCCATCGTTGAGATCGATGTTTGTTTCCTCTGTAAGAAGTAGTCACGAACCACATAAGAGCATAACGCGAAGTACATACCAGGCACATCATCCAAGTTAAGAAACTCTTCCTCTTTCTCTTCCTCGACAACCTCGGCCTCCTTGGCACTCCCATTCTCGGGCAAAGCGCACTTCTTTTGGCTGATGAAGCTCAAGGCCTGGAGAACAAGCGCGTACAGGTACTCGACCTTCTTGCTATACACCTGAGTCGATCCCTGGATGAGCAGCGCCGCTGGAGTTGGAAAAAAACTTGGCTCAGGGATTTTCCTATCTCACTAGATCGACACATACCTTCTGCGAAATTCAAGCAGCTCTGCCCATCTTGAAACGGCGGTGTGAGATGGAGCTGGGAGAGATACTCCTCCAGCTCCTGGGCGACATCCACAGACCAGTTCTCTCCCAAATCCCTGCACGGCTGGAGGAGATGCGCGTAGCGGGGCTCGCCCTCGCCCGACGCCATAGCTAGAGCCCTAGCATTCAAATTTTTGGCGGGTAGACGGTGGATACCGTCCGCGTGGACGGCTCACAAAATTCAGCTGAATGCAGTTACGGGCAACAAGGGTTAGGATTTGGGGGTTTTTGGCCTTAGGGCGAGCCCATTCCATCTCTCGCGCCATCGTCTAGGGCGAGGGCGGAGCCATCGCGATCCGGTGCTTGGATGAAGAGGATTCCGATCGTTTGCCACCGGCATTGCGATCGTCATCGCGATCAGGTACTTGTTCTTGGAGAATGCAGCGGAAGCCAAAGCCTGCGTCTGGGGCGGGATTCGGCGTGGTTCCTCCCTATCAGCCGAATATCGTCCCTCGCGTGAAGATCTGGTTTCCTCCGGCGTTCACAGCCAAGTACAAGCCAGAGCCAGAGCCGGCCCCGGCGGAGATCAGCTCATATCCGTCGAAAAAGAGAGATTTTGATACCTTCGCTCAGGATGCCGAGGTGTGTAGTTTCCAGGGGGAGGATATTGGGGGCTATCCTCCCAGGGCGGAGGAGATTTTGCTGTTCCAGGACTTGAAGCGTAGGCGCGGCGAGCGTTTCACCTTGAAGGATATTGAGGAGGACGAGAATGCCAAAGTTTTGGCCGAGAAGGAGATGAGGAACTTTGAGGGGTTCTCTCGGCCCCGACCACCTGAAGCTGGGAAAGGCCCTCCAGCTATTTCGCTGTCGATCGACTTGTTCGACAATCCCGAGATCGATCTCAAGCATCCTTCCACGGACATTCAAGAGGTAAAACTTTTCTTATAACTGGTTGCTTTCTTAGATTTGTGTGTTAACTTCTAACGCACAGGCCCAAGAACGTGGTGAGAAAGGAGCCAAGGCAAGAGCAAGGTTTTATGCCTCTACTGGCCTTTGTGAATGGGTACCCTGTTACGTGCTCGAGTACGACAGAAAGAACGACACTTACTTGGTTGAGTTTACGTTTAACGAGAAGAGAAAGGTCATAAAGAGGTAGTAGCTGCTCATGCTTATGGATCATACTGATAACCGGGGTCTATGCAGGCTAAGTTTCATATTGGACAGGGAAAGAGAGCGCGCATTTGTCGCCAGAGTGTTTGCTGCCAAAGACCTTCGAACGAGGGTTGAAACTCAAATGGTAATCTTTTATGTGCTCCTCGTCGTTCTTCTATAATCCTAATCAATAAATTCTAGTTCAGCGCTATTCCGCGTATGTTGAGGACCTTCCATTCAGAAATCCTGAAGTGATTGACGATCAGCTTTTGAATCGCGTTTTAAACATGTCTGGAGTGGAGCTTTCTAGAAAGTTTACCGCCACTGTTGCTGACTATTTCGAGGACATGAAACGTGACTATCGTCTCAGTGTAAACAGCTCGATTCTCAACCATTATCAGCTTCTTAACGAAGACGAGCGACCCCGATTTGCCGCTCTTCAAATATTTTCCAAACTAAAGCAGGAGACATCTTGTCCAAGGTAGTTCTCGTTTTTGTTCTCTCATGTTTGTTTAAGTCGGGATGCTGCAGACAGGGTTGTGTTCCTTTGGTATTTGATACACCGTTTTTCTTCGTACGGGAAAGCATATCTAGAACACTCTGTGTTGCTGAAGAGGCTTTTCTGCTTGGTTTGCAGCTGTATTACAAGGAGATGGACATCTCAGAGGTTTCTCTAGTCGATCCACAACTTTACAGGGATCAGAGACCATGGTTACTAGAAAATTTTCGTGAAACCCAAGAAGAGTATATCAGGGAAACTGTCGAGTACTTCAGAAACGAGTACGTACGACATTCTATCAAGTTTAAAAGACTAATTTTGTTGTGCAGGTGGGTGCCGAAAGTCGTTGGCATTATTGACGAGTTGGTGTCCCCAACCGCTCAATATCCACAACGATCGATGGAAAGGCTTATGAACTACATGATGCGACTGTCGCTGACAATGAGAGAACAATTGGAGATGGTGATTTTGCTATCTACGTCTGGTTACCGTAAACTGTGGGAGCAGTATTTGCCGTCAGAAGAAAAGGTGCCTGAGCATCAGGGGATACACAGGCAGCCGTTGTTCACCATCCAGCTGACGGTGGCTGATAATGAGTTTGTTTTTGTGCCTTCTCTAGAAACAGTCGAAAGCACGGTACTCGGCATCTATGACCACGCTATTCAGTCCATCAAAGGGATAGAAGATTTGCAGTCAAGGTTAACTACTGTCACAAATCTTCTCGTTTCCAATGAGATATATACACTACCACCGGACGAGATACGGCTTGTCGCATCCCGGAAAAAGATAAAGGTTCCTCGTTCTTATCATTCTCTTGCTCACGTAATACTTACACCCTGTGATCTGCAGGAAATTCTAGAGTACAACTTTCAACCAGCACGCAAGCTGCAGGAAGATTATCAAGAATACAACGACCTTGCGCATTTGAATATTGAGACTTTTGCGGAGTTGTATATTGCGGCTAAGCATTCTCTCGAGGACTACGAGCAGACAATCACGACTTATTTGGAGGTATGTTTGATGATAGTTTAGGCGTTGCAGCTGATCGATTTGCTCACAGGTCGCAGAGGCTGCATTTTGGAGATCTGAGAGGGAAGTTGTAGTGCCAATGTTTCATATCGATTGCACAACCATACGTGATTTCCTCTACAAGAAAGCTACTGCTATAGCGAACAAAATCAGCTGTCAAATTCTTGAAACCACAATTGCCAAAAACACCGTTCTTTGTCAGAAGTATAATGACATCGATCAACGGCTTGGGATGTAAGTAATTTGTTTTAGACTGCTGCTTCCTGCTGCTAAAACATGTAACAACAGTGACATTCCGAATCCAGAGGAGCTTGATGGCATCAGAAAGTACGTTATTTCAAGTAAAAAAGAGGTCATACAACTGGAAGAAGAAGTTGCCAAGTCCGCTCAGGTTTGTGTTCTTTTTTAGCAAATTTGTTATACAAACGTTAAGTTTCAGGTTTGGGCAATGTTCGACCGGAAACAATTCACAGTTTCCGAAGAAAACATGGACCACTTTTGGACAACACAGGCTTGGCCTCAGAGAATCGGGCTTGCGATTGAGGACTGCGATGGCAAAATAACACAGTCGAAGGTTAACGTGTATTCGACAATTTAAACATGACAAATGTGCTCCTTTATTACAGATGAAATTCACCGCGCAACTAGCAATGGATCAGCTGAAACTGAAGGCGGATCTTAAGAAACTGGGAGAGGAAGTGCAGGGGTTTACGAAGTACGGCGATATCGATTCGTTTGAGGAACGGATACTTGTCGTTCAAGAGATTGAGGACAAGATTAAAAAGTACGGAGAACTTTCTGAGCTGTACAACAGTCGGGAACAGGTCTTCGGCCTAACGGTTACCGAATACCCGCAAATCGAGCAGCTGGAAAAGCAATTTGAAATGTGCGGCGTTGTCTGGCATACTGCCGCGGACTTCCTTCGAGTTTTGCCACAGTGGATGGATGGTCCATTTGGTTCTATCAACTCCGAAGAGATGCAGCAAAATGTCGATAAGTGGTTCCGTGCTTGCGCGAAAAGCGTGAAGCAAGTCACAGGGGATGTGAAAATCGTTGCAGAGCAGTTGAAGAAAAAGATTGAAAGCTTTATGGTAAGAGTCTGTGGCTTGAGACAGATACTTGTACTGACTGTCATGTTTTATAGGTGAACATTCCCATGGTCACTGCCCTTCGAAATCCTGGCATGCGAGATCGTCATTGGAAAAAGCTAAGCGACCAACTCGGATTTGAAGTAAAGCCCGGGCCAACTTTCACGGTATCTGTCGCATTGGAATTGGGACTTCCGAAGTACATGGCAGTGATAGAGGATGTAAGTATCTTCTTCATACGATACCAGCACTCTCATAACAAGGAATTGTCTCACAGATAAGTGAGTTCGCAAGCAAGGAGTACTCGGTTGAAGTTACCATCGACAAAATGCAAAATGATTGGGTTGGAATGAAGTTTGATTACGTTATGTGGCATAACACGGGCACCTGCATTTTGCGTGGACTGGACGATCTTCAAATGCAACTGGAAGATCATATTGCGAAAACGCAATCCATGCAGGCGTCCCCGTATGTAGGCCCGTTCGAAGATCGTGTCAAACTTTGGCTGGCCAAACTCAACCTGGTGCAAGAGGTGCGAATTTTAGTTCCTGTTCTCATTGTCTAATCTTCTAAGTTATCGATGTTTTAGTGAAGCTTGCAGACGCTAGATGAGTGGCTGGCTTGCCAGCAGCAGTGGCTCTATCTCGAGCCAATCTTCACGTCGGAGGACATCATGCAGCAAATGCCCGTTGAGGGACGAAGATTTAAGGCTACCGATGCGTCTTGGAGGAGAATTATGGACAAGCTGATGAAAAATCCAGAGGCTTTGGTTGTTGGAACGGACGAGGAAATCTTGAAGGGCCTCAAGGAGGGTAACAAGCAGCTGGACATGGTTCAGAAAGGTCTGAATGAGTATTTGGAAACGAAACGGTTAGCCTTCCCCAGGTACGATAGAAAAGCGTATATGGTTCACTCACTAATTGTTAAAGAATGTAGGTTCTACTTCCTATCAAATGATGAGCTCTTGGAGATATTGGCCGAGACAAAAGACCCTTTAAGAGTCCAACCTTTCTGTCGCAAAATTTTTGAAGGCATAAGTCGTTTGGAGTTTCAAAAGAACCTTGAAATTACGGCGATGATCAGTGAAGAGGGAGAGAAGGTCGGCTTTGTTACCAAATTTAATCCGAAAGATGCTGCTGGTGCGGTGGAAAAATGGTTGACACAGGTAGGCTATGGTTTTGTTGGTTTCCCTAAGTGTTTCAAATAACAGGTGGAAATGGCGATGAGAGAGAGTTTACAAGATGTCACAAGAAGATCATATGAGGCATATCCCGTGTCAGACAGATTAAATTGGGTTCTTGTGTGGCCTGGACAGGTCGTTTTGTGCATTTCATCCCTCTATTGGACGTCTGAAGTTGCAGAAAGCATTAGGAAAGGAACACTCCAAACTTATGAGCAGAAGTGCACTCAACAACTCGAAGCTATTGTCAATAAGGTTCTTCTATTTTCAGATAAAGCACGGCTCATATGTCTCTTACAGGTTCGTGGTAAGCTAACCAGCTTAGAAAGGAAAACGATCGGAGCTCTTATTGTCATTGATGTCCACGCTCGGGATGTGGTTAAAAATCTTGCTGACGCCAACCTTTCCGAGGAAACTGATTTTGAGTGGACAAGTCAACTGAGGTGCACTCTTCTTTGGATAAAATCTAAGTATCAACTGTGTCTTTCTTACAGGTACACGTACGAAGATGGTCTGGTCATTGTCCGTATGATTAATGCCTCGCTACCTTATGCGTATGAATATCTAGGAAACAGCAGTCGCTTGGTTATAACCCCGCTAACTGATCGGTGTTATCGAACACTTATGGGAGCCTTGCATTTGAATCTGGGAGGTGCTCCTGAGGGACCGGCAGGTGCATTTTTTGTTTTACTGAATTGTCATTGTTGTCCTTAACACTATAAGCAGGTACTGGCAAGACGGAAACTACCAAGGATTTGGCAAAAGCCATTGCAATGCAATGCGTTGTGTTCAACTGCTCAGATGGTCTTGATTACTTAGCCATGGGAAAGTTTTTTAAGGGTTTAGCTAGCTCCGGTGCTTGGGCTTGCTTTGATGAGTTCAATCGAATTGACCTGGAGGTAACTTTCGTGGCATACTTACACTTACAGTGAATTTGGTGTCGTTCAGGTGCTCAGCGTGATAGCTCAACAGATTATGACAATTCAAAGAGCAAAAGCAGCCGGTCTAAAGCAGTTTGAATTTGAAGGTGTGAAGCTTACGCTGAAAACAACATGCGCTGTGTTTATCACCATGAATCCGGGTTACGCTGGGCGTTCTGAGCTCCCTGACAATTTAAAAGCACTTTTTCGAACTGTGGCTATGATGGTTCCCGATTATGCGTTGATCTCGGAGATAACACTGTACTCCTTTGGATATCTACAAGCTCGTGAGCTTGCTAGAAAGCTAGTTGCTACATATCGGCTATGTAGGTACAGACAATTACTTTCTCGCACAAACTTTTCTTTGAAACTAAATTAACGTTGTTTGCAGTGAACAGCTCTCTAGCCAAAATCACTACGATTATGGTATGAGAGCCGTCATTTCCGTGTTAAGGGCCGCAGGAAATGTGAAACAGAAGTTTCCTGATGAGAACGAAGGGGTCTTGATGCTGAAATCATTAAAAGATGTGAACTTGCCAAAGTTTCTTGCGCATGATATTCCTCTATTTGAAGGTATTCTCATGGATTTGTTTCCTGGAGTCGTTCTTCCATCTCCAGACTACAAGTTGATGGAGATTGCTCTTCATAATGCGTGTAAGAAGCGCAATCTTCAGCCGACCCCTGTTTTCTTTGAAAAGGTACGTTGTTCATTGTAATCAGTGAGACCTTTTTTACTTCTTCAGTTTCGCAGATTTTTCAACTGTATGAGATGATTCTTGTGAGGCATGGGCTCATGATTGTCGGATACTCCTATGGCGCCAAAACCGAGTGCTATCGAGTGCTTGCTGCAGCTCTTACCGAACTTTGCAATGGCGGCATCATGGAGAACGTGACCAAGTGCTACTGCCTCAATCCAAAATCTATATACATTGGTCAGCTTTATGGACAATTTGATCCCGTATCTCACGAGTGGACCGATGGCATTCTCGCAAAGAACTTTCGCAATGCTGCAGTTGATACGACACCAGATCGCAAGTGGATTCTGTTTGATGGTCCAGTTGACGCGGTATGAAACTGTATGCTGGCACATCTGTTTTTTTCTGATAAAAAGTTGCAGGTCTGGATTGAAAACATGAACACGGTTCTCGACGACAATAAGAAACTGTGCCTTATGAGCGGCGAGATCATTCAAATGACGAACTCTATGAACCTTATTTTCGAAGTGCAAGACCTTGCAGTCGCATCTCCGGCAACGGTTAGTCGCTGTGGAATGGTGTATACTGAACCAAGCCAGATCGGATGGGTGCCTCTGAAAGTATCATGGGTGAAGAAAATGACCGATAACTTTCCCGGCATCGTGGAGGGGATAAAGATCGTCGAAGCCATGCTGGATTGGCTGGTGGAGCCGTGCCTGCAGTTTGTCAAGAAGCACTGCAAAGAAATAGTTGCGGCATCTCCAATCAACCTTGCAGCGAGCCTGATGAACATGTACGAAAGCTTCCTCGACGAGTTCAAGCAGGTGCCAAACGCTCCAAGAGCATCGACAATTGCGGTTCATATTCTTCCACTGCCTCGCGGCGACGACATGGTCAACTGGTTGCAGTGCCTCTTCATAACAAGTCTTATTTGGACAGTCGGTGCAACTGTTGACGTTGAAGGACGGGCGAAATTCGACGTGTTCTTTCGGAAGCTCCTTGCGAAAGAAGACGACCTTGGCTATCAGCTCGCTGCAGGGCTGGAGATTATGAAACCGTCCTTTGCAGTCGCGTTGCCTCTTCCGGTTACTGGCCCGTGCTACAACTTTGTATTCTGGAAGATCGAAAACTGCTGGAAACAGTGGATGGACATCATTGACACAAGAGCACCATCTGTGGACGCGGAGTTTAACGACATCATTGTTCAAACAATTGACACTGGGAGATATTCGTATCTGCTGCAAGTCCTTGTCACTCATCAGAAGCATGTTCTTATTTCGGGTCCTACAGGAACAGGTTTGCCAACGTTCATGATTTTTTTCAACTTCTGAAGTTTCTTTTTCTTGGTGTTCTCACAGGTAAGACCGTATACATCAAGAACGAGCTTACTGCCGGACTTGATAAAGCGGTTTATCGGAATATCATGATGACTTTCTCCGCGCAAACAAATGCAAACCAGACTCAGGTGCGTGCTTTGTTTCGTGTTTTTCTACGATATTTACGCTTACAATTTGTTCCAGGATATCATAGATGGAAAACTGGACAAAAGGAGGAGAGGTATTTACGGGCCCCCCTATGGAACGAGATGCGTCATTTTTGTTGATGATCTAAATATGCCTGCGCTCGAAGTTTATGGTGCTCAGCCACCTATTGAAATATTACGGCAATGGATGGATCATGGTGGATGGTAACTGTCTTTTGCATCTTTTTCATTGTTCTTACGTTTTGCTCATTACATTGAAACAGGTATGATAGAGCGGAGCTTACATTCCGCCAGCTGATTGACATTCAGTTTGTGTCAGCCATGGGTCCGCCTGGAGGTGGTCGTAATCCTGTTACGCCTAGATATCTCAGGCATTATGTTGTTCTTACTATCCTTGACTTCGACGATGCTACATTAGCAACGGTCTTTAACACAATCATGGCATGGTGGGCAAGGAAGTCACGGTTATCGACTGATGTAAGTCGCCTCTTTTTTACTTTCCAGCAGCCACTGATTTGTGCTTCATCCTGCATACAGATAAGCGGCATTTTAAACCTTCTTGTTCTTGCAACGATCGACATTTATCGATCTATCCAAAAGGAGCTACTGCCTACGCCACCCAAGTCTCACTATACATATAATATGCGAGATCTGTGCAAGGTTTTCCAGGGGATTTCAATGATAGGAGTTGCTCTGGAAGAGAAAAAGAATCTCGTTCGCCTTTGGGTTCATGAATGCCTGCGGGTATTCTATGACAGGCTTATCTGTGACGAGGACCGCGATTGGTTTGTCAAGTATGTGCAAAACAGGATTGAGTCTCGTTTGCAGCTTAAATGTGACTACGTTTTTGGCAACTATGATTATGCCAATTCCATCCGAAACGTAATGTTTGGCGATGTTATAGATACGACTAACTTTCCAAAGAGGTATGTATCGCAATCTTTGCTGGCATTTCGCATTTTGCTTAAGCAACTGTTTCGCAGGTATGAAGAAATATATGATGCGAAAAAGCTGCTCACGTTTATGGAGGAGCAACTCGCTGAGTTCAACTCTCAAACGAGAAATCCTCTCGTCTTGGTTCTTTTTGCGTATGCTGCACAGCACGTTTTGCGTATCAGTCGAATTCTTCGACAACCTTATGGAAATGCTTTGCTAGTAGGAGTGGGAGGAGTAGGCCGCCAATCTCTCACCAAACTGGCCACTTCCATGGCGAGTTATATGCTGTTCCAGATACAAATTAGCAAGCTTTATGGTTTTATGGAATGGAGAGAAGACCTGAAGGTTTGTCTCTTTTCTCTTTCTTTCTTGGTACAAGATATGAATGTTGCAGGTGGTTTTGAAGAAGTCTGGAGGTGATAACAATGCCACTGTTTTCGTCTTCAGTGATACTCAACTCAAAGAAGAAAGGTTTCTCGAAGATATAAACAATATTTTGAACACTGGAGAGGTATAGTAGCTGTAACCAGTTTCCTGACAGCCTCAATCTTTTCTGGTTTCCTTTCAGGTGCCAAATCTTTACCCGAAAGATGAGATTTTGCCTATCTTGGATTCCGTGAGGGTCCGTGCTAAAAAGGCAGGAGTAGAAGGCACACAGTCGGAACTTTACATGTTTTTTGTGGAGCAATGCAAGAGAAATCTGCACATGGTTATTTGCATGAGTCCATTTGGTTCGTCATTTCGAACAAGGCTCCGCATGTTTCCATCACTTGTCAACTGTTGTACCATTGACTGGTTCACGGAGTGGCCTGCAGAGGCTCTTAAATCCGTTGGCACGCGTTTCCTCTCAGTCGTAAGTTTTGCTTTCGAAGTTTGATTTTCTTCGGTGCTAATCTATCGCTGTTTCAGCTGGAGTTTAATGAGGATTATATATTACCTGGAGTCATAGACATGTGCATGGCATTTCATCAGAATGCTAGTGACTTATCTGATACCTTCTGGCAAGAGCAGCAACGACATTTTTACGTGACGCCGACTTCATTTCTGGAGCTCCTCAACACATACAAGTCTCTGCTTGGGGAGAAGAGGTTGCAGATTAACACAATCAAATTCAGATACGTGGTATGTTTCCGACTACGTGCTCGTGCACGTAAAGTTATCCTGCTGTAACGCCCATTCATTCTATTACTGTCACACAGATGGGACTTGAGAAGCTGCTGGGTGCCGAAGGCCAAGTAAATGTAATGAAGAAGGAGCTTGAAGCTCTTCAGCCCATCTTAATCAAAACTGCCGAAGAAACAGATGCACTTCTTGTCACCATCGATAGAGATCGGAAGGAGGCCGAGGCAACACGTAAGATTGTGGAGGCCGAGGAAGCCATTGCCAATGTCAAGGCTTCAGAGGCGAAAGCAATCAAAGAAGATTGTGAATCAGAGCTTGCTGTGGTAAGTACTCTGCAATTGCTACTTGCACTTGGATTTATAATCTGATGCATGTAGGCTATGCCAATGCTGGAAGCTGCTCTCTCTGCGTTGGATACTCTTACAAAAGCAGATATTACAGAAGTCAAGGCCATGAAAAATCCACCGGCACCTGTGAAAATTGTCATGGAAGCCTGTTGTTTGATGAAAGGGGTAAGAATCGATGTAATTTTACATACTGAACTAAGAAGATTTTGTCCAACAGGTTAAGTCGAGGAGAATACCTGACCCAAACAGCCCGGGAAAGAAAATTGAGGACTATTGGGGTCCTGCGCAGCAAATGCTTGCGGACACAACTTTCCTTCCGTCATTGAAGGAGTATGATAAAGATAACATCCCTCAGGCAATAATTGATAAGATACGGCCATACTTGCAAAGAGCAGAGTTTGATCCAGAAGTTGTGAAAAAAGCATCTAAAGCTGCCTATGGACTTTGTTGTTGGGTGCGAGCAATGGAAAGCTATGATAGAGTGGCGAAGGTACGTCAAGGAGTATATTTACAAGCTTCTTTGCTCATTGCTTTTCTTTCTTACAGGTTGTGGCGCCAAAGCGGGCGAAGCTGCAAGCAGCCACTGATGAGTTTAACGAGCTTCAAATAGCTTTGACAGCAAAGAAGGAAATGCTGAGGCAGGTAGAAGAGAAGCTGGGAAAGCTTCAGAAACAGCTTGACGCCATGGAAGCTAAAAAGGCGCAGCTAGAATCGGACGTTCAAAACTGTCAAAAGGTGAGAGGCTTCATTTTACTGTTGATGGCATTTGAGCACTAACATCGTTCTGTTTTGCATGCAGAAACTTTCACGCGCAGAAAAACTTATAGGTGGTCTTGGAGGGGAGAAGGCAAGATGGACCAGTGTGGCAGAGGAAATGGGAAAACTCTATCTGGATTTAACTGGAGATGTCCTCGTTGCATCTGGATACATTGCTTACCTTGGAGCTGTGACGCTAGCTTATCGGGAGAGACTACTGGATTCCTGGGTGACAATGTGCAAGGAGAAGAACATCCCTTGTTCTCCGATCTTCAAGCTGACCACAGTCCTGGGCAATCCTGTGGCAATCAGAGACTGGGTGATAGATGGTCTGCCGAACGACGGGTTTTCGATAGATAACGGGATCATTATGGATAATGCCAAGCGGTGGCCGCTTTTGATTGATCCTCAGGGACAAGCGAATAAATGGATAAAGGTACGAGTTTGTTTCATAAACTTGTTCTAAAGTTCAGGGTCCTTTTGCAGACGATGGAGAAGGCAAAAAATCTTCAAGTGGTAAAGCTTGCAGATGCGGACTTTGTACGAAAGCTGGAAAATTGTATCAACTTTGGGTATCCTCTTCTCTTGGAAAATGTTGGCGAAGAGCTTGACCCAACATTGGAGCCAGTTCTCACCAGAGCCGTTTTTAAGATGGGAGGTTCGCTTCAAATTCGCATTGGTGACAACACAATTGAGTACAACGAAAGTTTCCGGTTTTACATTACGACAAAACTCCGGAACCCGCACTATATGCCAGAGGTATGCTCAGTGTACAGCTTGAATCAAAGTTTGACTGATGTGGATTTTAACTGCAGGTGTCCGTCAAGGTGACGCTGCTCAACTTCATGATTACTCCTGAAGGGCTTTCAGATCAAGTTCTCGGCATGGCTGTAAAGAACGAACGCCCAGATCTTGAGGAAGAGAAAACACAGCTTGTGCTGCAAGGAGCAGAAAATCAGAGGCAGCTTAAGGACATTGAGGATCGAATTATCGAGGTGAGGGAGAAGTGACTCTGTTGAGGATATAACCAACTAAATTCCTTACAGGTGCTTTCAAGCTCCGAAGGCAATATCCTAGAAAATGAAACTGCTATCAACATTATTTCTTCGTCCAAGGTTCTGTCCATTGAAATTGCGGAGAAGCAAAAGGTGGCAGAAAAAACAGAAGCAAAGATTGATGAAGCCCGTAAAGGATATGTTCCCGTTTCTGTGCATGTGTCGTGCCTATTTTTCACGGTCTTGAGCCTGTGTAATATTGATCCTATGTATCAATATTCTCTGACTTGGTAAGCTGTCTTTCTTTTCAGTGCAGCATCTTATTTTCTTGCTGCCTGTGCAGGTATCTCAACCTTTTTCAGCAGGCAATGAAAGACTCCGAGAAATCGGACGTGCTTGACAAACGGATAACCATTCTCAATGACTTCTTCACGTTTTTGCTCTACTGCAGTGTCTCAAGAAGCGTTTTTGAGAAGGATAAACTACTTTTGTCCTTCTTAATTTGTACCACTCTCATGGAGAAGGATAAGCAGCTGAACGCCGAAGAGTTCCGGTTTCTAATTGCTGGCTCCGTAATTATGGAGCGAGATCCTCCGAAGAATCCATCGAAATGGTTGGCAGACAAGCTCTGGCTTGAAATGGTTCAACTTTCCAAGTTTCCAGCGTTTGCGGTACGTTTTTGTGAACTTCTTTTGGCCGGCTAACATGTCCTTGACAGGGTTTTAGCAAATTCTTTCAAGAAGATTCAGAGAGGTGGAGACATATTTATGACAGTCCTCAGCCTCACAAAGAACCACTTCCTGGAAACTGGGGTACAACCCTCAATCCGTTCCAGAAACTACTTGTCTTGCGAGTGATACGGCCAGACAAAATTGTTACGGGTATCAACACGTTTGTTCTGGAGACAATGGGTCAGAGGTATGTTGAACCTCCAGCATTTGACTTGGAAGGTGCATATAAGGACTCGACTCCAGTTGTTCCGCTCATTTTTGTACTGTCGCCTGGATCGGATCCAATGGCAGCTTTGCTGAAGTTCGCAGAGGAGATCAAACAGGAGGTAGGACTTTCTTACTGTCTTTGATCCACTTTTTCACGTATACTTGATACTCACAGGTTCAAAGTATTTCACTTGGACAAGGCCAAGGCCCAAAAGCTTCTCAGATGATACAAATGGGAATGCAACTTGGTTTCTGGGTGGTGCTACAAAACTGTCATTTGGCAGCTTCATGGATGCCACAGCTAGAGCGTATATCTGAAGGCATGAGTCCGGATACCACGAATGCGGGATTTCGGCTGTGGCTAACAAGCTATCCAGCTGAACACTTCCCGGTGGCTATCCTGCAGAGTGGTATCAAGATGACTAATGAATCTCCGAAAGGATTGCGAGCAAACATGCTCCAGGTTTGGCCATCTTTTTCGACAGTTTCCTGTAATGCAACTTTTTGCTGGAATGCAGAGTTACCAGAGCTATCCCATCAGCGACCCGGCCTTTTTCGAGTTCCAAGGAGAGAAAGGACCTGTGTGGAGAAAAATGTTGTTTGGCCTGTGCTTCTTCCATGCGTCGGTTCAGGAACGTGTCAAGTTTGGGCCGCTTGGCTGGAACATTCCTTATCAGTTCAGTGATCCTGATCTCAAGATCAGTATGAGACAGTTACAGGCATTTTTGATCGAGTTTCCGGACGTCGTTCCGTTTAAGGTGAGCAAAAGCTTACCTCAGCAAGATTACTCATTTGTGATGTGTTTTCAGGCACTTGTGTATCTCACGGGTGAATGCAACTACGGAGGTCGAGTAACAGATGCACACGACCGGAGAACTCTCATGTCATTGCTGGCCGTTCTGTATACTCCGGAGATCCTGGAAGACGATTATGCTTTTTCGCCATCCGGTATCTATTATGCGCCCCCGGATTTCGAATACGACGAGTACATCGAGCATATAAAGCAGTTCCCGTTGATAGCATCCCCGGAAGCTTTTGGTTTGCACGAGAATGCGGACATCACCAAAGATCAGCAAGAAACTGATCTCCTGTTGTCCTCAATTCTCTCAACACAGGTAACAAGGAATTCACACCTTGCAAACAAAACTTACACGTATGTATACGTTTTGTGATGGCAGAGTAGCACTTCGAGCGGTGGTGGCCAGAGCAAGGAGGAAGTTCTCCTGGAGCTGGCCAAGGACCAGGCCAGTAGGATCCCGCAGCCTTTCGACATAGAGCTGGCTCGCTACCGCTTCCCGGTGAGGTACGAGGAGAGCATGAACTCTGTGCTTCACCAGGAGATGACCCGCTACAACAACTTAACCGAGGTACCCTTGATCTAAGCATTGTTTCCTCACACTTGCAAGCTTTGTCTCCAGGTGATCAGAACAAGCTTACACACGCTCCAGCGGACGCTCAAGGGCCTGGTGGCCATGTCCTCCGACATCGAGAAACTGGCCAACAGCATGTACATCGGCAAGATCCCGGCGATGTGGGCCGGGAAGTCGTATCCATCGCTCAAGCCGCTGACGAGCTACGTGGCCGACCTCCAGCAGCGCCTCAACATGCTCCAGGTGTGGTCGGAGCGGGGTCCTCCGCCGCAGTTCTGGATCAGCGGCTTCTTCTTCACGCACGCATTCCTGACGGGCGTGCTCCAGAACTACGCGCGCAAGTACAAGATCCCCATCGACAACGTGTGCTTCGAGTTCAAGTGCCTGCCGGCGAGCCTGGAGCAGGACAAGAAGCCCGAGGACGGGTGCTACATCTACGGCATGTTCCTCGAGGGCGCGCGCTGGGACTTTGAGAAGATGATGCTGGCCGAGTCGCTGCCAAAGGTTTTGTACTCGCCGGCTCCCAAGATCTGGCTGTCGCCGTGCGAGGTGTCCAAGAAGAAGGAGTTCCCGTGCTACCACTGCCCGCTCTACAGGACGGCCGAGAGGCGCGGGGTGCTGGCCACCACCGGGCATTCTTCCAACTTTGTGTTTAATGTGGAGCTCCCCACGGACATGCCGCCGGATCACTGGATACGAAGAGGGGTCGCCATGCTTCTCCAGCTCAGTGATTAAGCTATCTTTCTCTGTATTTGTTTGTACAAATGTATCAGATTCATGATTTGGTTATGTATGATTAACTGCATATGTGAATGTAAAGACCTCTGAACAATGCAATACAAATGTTGCTACACACAAAAGAAAAAGAACAAGAATTTAGAACAGGAAAAACAGCTATGATTATTTACAATTGTCAAACAATACAAAACACTATTTTCTGATCATATAGTACAAATACATGCCAAAAAAAAACATATGTGGCAACCCTGTGGAGGGAAAAATTGTTGGGAATTCTCGACATGGTATTTGAAAGAGTCGTGTGACAATCCAAACACGCATTCAAAGCTAGCTTTTCTGGCTCTGGTGGGATTTGCAGTAGTAATCCGCCGTGTCGCAGCGAGCTTGATTCTTGCACGGTTGGTTGCTGGCAGTGAGACCCTTGCACCGCTTAAGCTCCTGCTTGGCACGCTCGTTGGGATCGGCCAGTTCCAGCAGCAGATCAAACTCTTGGAGGCACTTATCCACGTCGGCAAACCGCCTCAAGCTCGCAGGGTCGCCATCCGATGCAACACTCTCCGGCATGACGTCGAAGTAGTCATCTTGAATCGCCTGGTTGCCTTTGACAATCCATTTCGGTAGCACCTCCGTCTTCCAGGCCTCATGAGTTCGTTTCTTGCTCTTGGTCTTCCAGCCAGCCACAGTTATCTGCACCGCTATGATCTTTAGAGTGCCATTTCTCTCCAGCTTGAGAAGGATCAGGTCCACCGCTCTCTCATTAAAAGCCGCAGGGCCGAGAAGAACGCCTTCGACAAGCTCCTCCATCGTCAGCTCCGAGACAACGTTCCTCTCGCAGCCGTGACGGTACACTCTGTAGTGCTTGAAGTCGAGACCGAAAAGCCGCTTCTGGAAGCGTACCACAGCGATGACCAGCCCCTCGACGTTCCACCCCACACGCGCCGAGTTCCTCGGGCCCTGGTCTTGCTCACAGTCGAGCCTGACAGCCGCAGCCCACCTCTGGATGTCCGAGAGCTGGAGCGAGCTTTGCAAGCTTTCGTGCTGCTCCATGATGTAGCTCTCAGCTTGCGAGCGCAGGAAAGAGCTGAGGATGTGAAACTGTTGCTCCTTCTCATCGTAGTAGAAGCACGTCATGTCCACCTTGTCTTGCGTAAGTAAGTGCCCGCGCTCTCCAGAAACGACCAGTGCCATTCCAGCCGATAGCTCCCTCCGGTTCACGAGATTCCCGATGAACTTGCTGTAGAGCTTGTGCGTATATGCCGCCTGGATCCTTCCCGCGAAGTCTTTCTCGTTGCCCTTGACGTCCTCGTAGAAACGCAGCAGCAGTGGCATTCCACCGGTCAAGCGCTCCAAGTCCTGAAGCTGCGAGACCCCGTCGAGGCTCGACTGCGCAATCCAAGTCGCGAGCTCGCTGCTGTTGTAAGGCCCGTCAAAGTGGAACGTTTCCATCTCCTCGTCGGCCTTGTCACTGTCCTCCCAGAGTTGCCTCTGCCTGCTGTTGACGGACGAGACCGTGACGAGGACCTGAAACATGGTGGCTTCTTGCAGCGCGTCTCTGAGCGGCGATCCAGTTTTCTCAAAGATGTCCCACTCGTCTACCACGAAGAGCAGCGAGCCTCTCTTCTGAGCCCGGCACCAGAGAACAAGACTCTCCAGATTCTCCAGCTTGGCGAGCTCGCCATCCCTCCCGCCCCTCCCAAACGCCAGGAGCAGCGCGTCCACGAGCACAGCATGTGGATTCAGCACGAATCGCTTGCCGAGGATGTAAACCACGCGGCGCTGCCTCGACGCTATGAGATAGCCCGCGATGGTGCTCACCACCCTGCTCTTTCCGGACCCTTTGGCGCCCAAGACTTGCATCGGCCGGAGCGGCACCTGGGCTAGGATTCTCGCGTAGAGCTTCTCCCCGAGGGCTCGCCCCACATAGCTGTAGGAGGTGGCAGCGGCGTCCCTGGTGGGCGGGACGAGGTGCAGCACCGAGCTCGTGTCCCAGATGAAGTTGGCATCGATGGCAAGCCTGGTGTCGGATGGACCAAGACGAGTGTAGACCGCCTCCAGTCTCGATTCGAGCGCATCGCGCTCCTGCACGCTCTCACCAAAAACAAAGTCTTGCTCTTGGGGCCATGGTCGCTTCATCCTCCAAGTCCTAAATTTCTCTTATGGCTTTCTTAGTGTTTTTATAATTGCAATTGAGTGGAGGAGTGCTTTGGGACGAATCTTGCTTTCCCTTTAGTTGCCAGGGATTGACATAAATCCGTGTTTATTCTTCCGCTAGCAGTAGAAGATGAGGCTGAGAATGTTGTAATTTCACAAGGAGTCACTTCAGAAAGTAAAAATACCATGAGACCTTCCGTGCTCGAAAGAATTTTTGAAAATCTTGCATTGTACCCTAATATATACATTTCACATAATTCTAATGGAAAGATGGCCGAGGTCAGGGCGTCAACAAGATCTTGCCGAAATGCTGGTTGGCGACCATGAGCTGCAAGGCCTGGGCCGCCTCCTCCAGCGGGAAAACCCTGTAAATCACCGGCTTCACCTTGCCTTCCTCCACCGCCGGCCACACATTCTGCCACACCTCCGCTACGATTTGCGCCTTGCTCTCTGGAGCTCGAGTCCGCAATCCCGCGGCTGCCAGGTTCTCAAATAACACTCTCAGCCAACCAAAGCGAAAGACCCTCCTCTCCCGCATTACCTGAGACTATCAGCCGTTTCTTCAGTATCGGCAGCAAACTCAGCTGGCCCGAGGCCCCGCCCTGGAAGCCGATTATGAACAGCCTCCCATCCATGCCGAGGGCCTCCAGGTTCCTCTCGAAATAAGACGCTCCCACCATGTCCAGTATCACGTCCACACCTGCGAGAGGCATCCAGTGATAATCTTGGAGCTCCGCCACTCAAAACATCACGGAAAGGCTAACCTTCCCCGTGGGTGGCCTCTTTCACGCGCGCGACGAAATCATCGTCCTTGTAGTTTATCGCCACCTCCGCTCCCAGCTGCTTGCACAAGTCGAGCTTTTTCTCCGATCCTGAGCCGGCCCCCACTGGTTAGAAGGACGTGATCACGGGGACTCACCAGCAGTAGCAAGGACTTGGGCTCCAATCGACTTCGCCATCTGGATGGCAAAGGTGCCAATCCCGCTGCTGCCGCCATGTATCTGGTTGCACCAAGCACAGCATGTTTGTTAAGCGATGGAAGAATCTCTAGAGAAGTTCTAACTTACGAGGACGCTCTCCCCGGCGGAGAGGTGGCACGCCATGAAGACGGTGGACCACACCGTGCACGCAACCTCGGGCAAGGACGCGGCATCACGCAGCGAGACCCCTCGCGGGATTGGAAGAAGCTGGCTCGCAGCCACCGCAACTTTCTCGGCGTAGCCCCCGCCCCCCAGGAGCGCGCACACCTGCGAGCACCACACTCACAGCATAAGAACTAAGATGTGTGAGCCCCATTCGCTCCATCGCCGCCTATCCGGAGTGGAATCCTCTATCCCCTAGAAACCTCGCGGGACACTAGTGCTCAATTCACCTGGACTTGGCTCAGCGCATTTTACCTCGTCCCCGACTTTCCATCCATCCACGCGCGCGCCCAGGCGCTCGATCACGCCGGAGCACTCGAGGCCCAGGTAGGGCGGGGCTCCCGGCGGCGGAGGGTGCTGGCCTTTGAGCTGCAGGAGGTCGGCGCGGTTCACTCCCGCGGCCGCGACCTTGATGAGCACCTCGTCGTCGCCAATATCAGGATCGGGCACCTCGCGCAGCTCGAGCACCTCCGGCCCGCCAAGCCCCTTCGCTACCACTGCTCGCATTTCCTTATCCCCGCGCTGGCGCCCTAAATCGTATACTTCATGTTAAACCAGATTAAAGCTTTTTGTTTAAGGCTATAAACATGTTTAGCTTAAGATGAAAGCATATTCTAGGAATATCCGTGTCTTTCAAATCTATCAAGGACGAATTTTGACAAAGCTATGGATAGCCTTGGGGGATATCAAAATTGCTTGGCTTCCTGTACAGATATAAGAACCAAACGAATCACCTCTCTACTTGAGTAAGCAAGGTATGTGCTGTTGTTCCATTGGACCCCATGCCGGCCTCGAGCTACCGTCCGCTGCTAACACTAAAACCAGTTCTTCGACGTCCTTGGGGACAAATTGTCCATCGCCTGGCCGCAAATCCACGAGAAGATCAGCAAGACAACGAGGAGGTCGAAGAGAAGCGCTCACCAAAGTGTGCATCTCCGTGTGGGAACTCGAAAGCAAGTCCTCCGATATCATCTGGATGCTGGACGGCCTCGCGCTGGCTCACGTTGTCGCTCTCGGTTGCCCGGCAGGGAGAAGTCGTGGTGGAGGACGTGACGGTCGAGTGGACGCTTCCATTGCACGTCGGCGTGGGAGTTCGAGTGATGAGCCAGCCCATCACCTCCTCCATATCAACTTGGCCATCCCTTGGAGAGCCGTTGTCATATTCCCTCTGAAACGAGAAAAGCCTTTAGCTATGCGCTCGATCGTTAAACGAGTAGCCAAACCTCGTGCTGTGCTGCCAATGGGTCTGCAACAGGAAACATACCGAAACATCTCGATACGCCTCCTGTATCTGAATGCCAGCAGGAAGTTTTGGTCAGCACAAGACAAGCGAGCATGGCTGCCCAAATATATTCATTACCAGACTCCTGGGTGTGTTTCTGCAGGGTGAGGAGGACCATTTCCCCCTTTCAAGTTTTGGCAACTTACGAAGAAAGTCATTCTCTGGAATCCCGATAGAAAAGCTTTGCTTTACGTATGCTCTGCTTACAGGGAAGAAAGAATTATATAGATCCTCTCTGCAGACGAAAAGTTAGCCTCGGCAACATTGACAGCGCGACTATTTACCTGTTGTCATTGTGTTCTACCATCTTCTTTGGTCTTTTGGGTTCTTTACTATAATCTGCGTCATCCTGGTGCTCGTGATCAACTAATAAGTCTGTGACATGGCTTGCTGGCTTAACCCGATGCGACCGTTTCTTACAAAGAGCATTAAAGCGGTTCTTGACAGCGTTGTCTGTCCTGCAAGCCTAAGCTTGATCAATCTAGCGTCAAAACAGTGGGTAATGAAACTCATACCTCCCCGGCACCATTTTTGCAATTTCAGTCCAGCGATTACCATATGCATTATGTCCCTGGAAGCAGAAGCGGTGTCATTGGTTATGGGAACTTGAAAATTTCGCCAAACCTCGAGTAACATCCGATCTTCTTCTGCACTCCAGCTGCTCTTATTCATACACATGTGTAGGTACGTTCGCCATCTAAATCAGAAGAACATATCAACGCAAGTGAAAAACTTGAGCAACGCCATCGTGTTACCTTCTTCGGCATTCACGAGGAGTTTTGTTCTGCATTTTAGCTGAAATGATATGCCACCTGAGCATAAACGAACCACTTCAGAAAAAACTAAAGGAAAGCTTGAAAGTAAGAAATAACACTATACGTACTTCTTGGTTCCATGGCGTTTGACAAGTTCTCTTAGCATTTCATCTTCCTGGTGGTGGCTATGTCAGTCAGATGCAGAAAGAGCTTGTAAGTACATTGCTGTCAGTTTGACGAGGCCAAAACAAACCATAAGAATCGAAAGAAAAAACCTGCTCAGTGAACACGGCCGGGGGATCCGACGATAGGCTCGAGTCCGTCGGCGAGTCTGGAGGAGAGGAATTGGGGGTATCGGGCATCGTGATGCTGGGGTGAGGGATATAACTAGCATCGGGAACAGCTGCCTCCATTCTCAGCGGCCTTAAGCTCTTCTCACCTGGAATCCTGCTCGAAATCCACCGAAAATCTTCTCAAGGGGACGAATCCAAGCGCGGCGAAATCCCGGCTTCTACCTGGAAAATGCGAGCCGGCGCCGATGATCTGGAGCTCAATAGCCGCTGTGACGCTCTCCATTGCCCCGGCGCCATGCCCGATCGCCTCCTCCCCACTGCTTGCCCTATAACACTTCCGGAGCAATGGAAAAACAAACACGTTACATATACCAATATGCCTTTCAACCGTTTCTGTTGAGACACAACCCTGCCACGTTGCCCTAGAAAAGATTTTAGGTCGTAGATTCTGTGGCGGAACTCTAGCTCGCAGGGTTCTCTTTCTCCTCTCTCTTTTTCTATGGCGCGTGGAGCGATTGCTCGGGAGCCCATGGATCGTTCTCTTGATCCTCTCCGGTATGCTCGATGCGATTCGCCTCCTCCTCGATTAGCCAAGATTTCGCGCTGCCGCTCTTGCAGATTTTGATCCTCCGCGCGATGTCGTCGTCCTCCGGGATTGCCTGTTCTTGCGATGCGATTCCCGGCGAGAAAAGCAAGGGGAAATGGAAGCTAGGCGAAAATGGAACGAGATTACGGAAGCGCGACGATCGTTCTCGCGAGCTGGAAGATCGGAGTGGCGGTGGCGAAGCGGGCGGAATTTCCAGGGGTGTCGATGGGGTTTCTTGGTGCCAGTATCGCGAATCCAGTGACTGGGGGGAGTACACGGAGGCCCAGCTAGAGAATCTAGTTCTGGAGAGTATCAAGGTAACGATCGAGACCGGCGTGAGAAAGCTCGTGGCGATGGGTTACAGCACGGAAGAGGCTACAGATGCCATCGTCACGAGTGGAAACTACGTGAGGTTCTCGGCTACCATAGAAATTGCCGAAGGCCACTTGAAGAAAGGTGGTGGTGGCGGTGGACGGAAGAAAGTACCAGCAGGAGAATTTACGGTGGAGGAGTTTGAGAGGCTTGCTCTGGCGAAGATGATCGGAGCTGTGAGAAGCGATCGACCGAGCTTATCTAGGCCTGACGCTCTGTGGTGCCTTCTCGTGTCGGATCTGGACGTCGTGGCAGCCATCAAGGATTTGGAGTCTATAGACAACGCTCTGAGTTCTTCGTCATCTTATCCGGCGTCTCCTCATCTTTCGTCCACGCCTCAAAGACCGACTTGCGATTTCAGCAGCGACGATGAAGATGAGCTAGATATGAACGAGGAGTTGCGGACAGAGTGCTTGTCTGCGTGCACCGAGCTCTCGCTCGCGTTAACTGCTGATCCAAAGTATCTCAAGCTAAAGCCAGTGACATCCGAGAGCGATATACCCCGGGGCATCGACGTCGTGAACAGACTTTTCGAGTCATTGGATAGCAAGAGCAAGGCCATAAAGGAGCTTGAGGAGAAGGTGACGGATCTGGACAGGCAGCTGGAAGAGAGGACCGAGTGGGCGCGTGCAAAGGTGCTTCAGGCAGCGCAGCGACTTAGCAAGGATATCAACGAGCTGAAGAAGCTGAGGGCGGAACGCGAGGAGGCCTTCCGTGCGAGCGAGAGCAACACGAAGAAATACTTGGAGCTCGAAAGTTCGTTTCAGAAGTTGACAAGTCAGCTGGACCAAGCTAAAGTCGGTTTCCAAAAAGTCGAAGCCGTAAACGCAGAGCTACGTGCGGAGCTAGAGGCGACCAAGCTGAGTGCTTCGGAATCGTTCGAGAGCAGCGTGAAAGCTTCAAAGCAAGAACGAAAGCTGCTGAAGACGGCTCAAAATTGGGAAAAGCAGCGAGCCAAGCTACAGGAGGAGCTCTCCACCGAGAGACGGAAGCTCTCCAAACTCCAAGAACAGATGGCGCAAACGAAGGAAATCCAGCACCAAGCCGAGGTAAGAACTTCAATCCTCTCGTATTCATATGTTAACTTCCATGAACACTGTACAGGATAGGAGCAGGCAAGACAAGAAGGCCAAAGACGAGGCACTCTTTCGTTTGGAGGCCGAGAAACTAGCCAGGGAGAAAGCCGAAGCGGCAGCCAAGCAAAGAGTGGAAAGGATACAGAGGAAGTCCGAGGCGGATCTGCGAGCTCACAGGGACGAGATACACAAGCTGGAGCAGGAAGTTTGCAAGCTCAAGTTCGGTGCTAGCGAGCTAAGCTTGTTGGACCTGAGCGAGCAGGACGCGATGCCGATGGCGTGGGGCGTCCGGAGGGACAGGGAATGCGTCATGTGCCTGTGCGAGGAGATCTCTGTGGTGTTCTTGCCGTGTGCTCACCAGGTGGTGTGCGTCAAGTGCAACGATTTGCACGAGAGGAAGGGGATGGCCGAGTGCCCGTCTTGCAGAACGAGGATCCAGCAGCGCGTGCGAGTCTACAATGGCGCAAACTAAGAGCTACTTCTCAGGTACACCATTTTCTCTTGAGATATGTGGAGACAATGTTTTTTGGCCCAGTGAATCTCACACAAGGTGAGTGATCTACAAGCTAGAAGGTACACCATCTTTCCACCAAGAGAGTGATCTAATGGTACAAGCTATGAGGTACACCATCTTTTCACCTGGAATAAGGAATATAGCGGAAACGATACCTTTTCTGTTCTAATAATTTAGTCTCGTAGGTTCAGCTTGAGAAGAAAACGAGATGTTGTCAGCTTCAAATTATTCGTGGTTTTTACATGTCAGCGAAACCGACGGTGATGGTGCTCCTCACGGAATGGACACCATCGCTCCACACCACGTCGCCAAATGCAAAGCTCCCGGATAAGGTCCGTGCTGGTTTTCCCTCGGCGCTCAAGCGGACAGTGTACTCCAGCTTTGTGGCGTTGGGACCAAACTTGAGCTCCCGGGGAGCCACCGTAACGTTGATGCCTCTGGGAGAGTTCACGGTGGCTGTGTACGTCGAGTCGGCGGGGCCAACGTTGGTCGCGGTCCTGGAGACACGCTGTGGTGTCTCTGGATCGAAGTCTGCAATGGTGATCGTCGGATAGTTGAGGTCCTGCGGCCGCAACTTATCTTTGCAGTGGACTTCGGCCAGGCCAGTGACGATTCTCAACTTCTTCGAGTTGTATCCGAGAGAGCAGAGGTAGAGGACGTAGTCTGACGTCGAGATGTCGTAAACAAGGCCCGGGTCGGAGGCCCTGATGGGATTTATTTCCCCAGCACCATAGTCGAATGGAGTAGCAGTCTTTCCATTGTAATCTTTTAGCTTCGAGCTTGTAGCTGCGGCAAGAGTGTTGTTTAGCTCTAGAACTTTGACAAGGAAAGAATGTGGAGGGCAAACCTGTTGTCATCAGTGCCGACTTTATCATAGAAGGGCTCCAATCCGGATGGAGGGACTTGACGTATGCAGCAGCGCCGGTGGCATGCGGGCACGACATGGAAGTTCCGGAGAGTATGTTGAAAACTGTGGAGCCTCTGTTGTTTAAGGGATCCACATTCTTTATGGGAAAATTGTCTGGTGACCATGATGCTAGAATGTTTAGACCTGGAGCAATTATGTCAGGCTACAAAATATGAAAATCAGATACACGATTCATTACGAGCACAAATGAAAGTTTTACCTTCAGTATTTCCGGCAGCATGTCACTTGGACCTCGCGAAGAGAAGACAGCAACTACGGGAGTGAGAGAGCCGTCTAACAGCGTACGAGTTGGAAGAATCGAAGCCGTGGGTCTCCTGCAGGAGAAGAAATAACGAACAAACCAACGTGTTCCGGAAGCTTACGTTGTGGAATTGATGTAAGACAGTATGCGTTCACCAGAAGCAGTTTGTATGAGTGTCGAAGGCAATGCGAAAGAAAACGCAACATCTGTAGCGAGCTCATTAACCTGGATCAGACCAGCTGCACCCAAGTTACGTAAAACGGCACTGCTGTTTCCGACCCTGCTACCAGCACGAATACCATGGTGGCAAAGAACTATCTTGTCTTTGACTTTGGAGGAATCAAGGGAGTTCTTAAGGCAGAACCTGAAAATGGTAGTTGCTCGTACTGGTTAGAACACAGGAAACTAAGATAGATCCCCATACCGTGCACTGTCTTTCGATGAGTGTTTTAGAGCAGCATCAACACTGTTGACAAGACCATATGTATTTTTCTTCATTTTCTTGACGTTCAATCCAGTTCCCTGCAAAGAAAGATAGGCTCAAAGCCGTATAACAAACCAAAACAAACGTTACCTCTAATGTTTCATTGTTGCCAAGCTGAACACTCGAGACAAGCCTCCGGTTTGTGGAACTTGCACCAACAGTCAAAATCCAAGGTGCTACGTTGGTCACTGTGGATTTGAAGGGTCCGGAGTTCCCAGCCGAGCAAGAGACGAGAATCCCGTGCCTCATTGCATGGAAAGACCCAATTGCAATAGTGTCCTCGTCGTAAGGAACTGTCTGTCCACCCAAGGAGACCGATAGCATGTCGACTCCATCATGAACAGCATCGTCAAATGCAGCGAGCACAGAGTGATCCATGCAGTCTCCAAAGAAGCACACCTTGTAAACCGCAATCCGGGCCTTGGGAAGGCCACCCCTGGCTTTTCCTTCACAAAGGCCATACAAGCTCGCGTGATCCACCACTCGTCCAGCAATTGTGGAGGCCGTGTGAGTTCCATGCCCCATGCCGTCCCTGGCATTTGTGTAGTCGCCAACGCTCTTGTTTTCATGGAAGGCTCCGTGAAAGTATGATCGAGCACCTACAATTTTCCTGCCAGCAGAAGCAAGCACCATGTAAGCTAGCTTTCAAGGTGATAGTTTACCTGTTACACCGAACAGCAAGCCCGGGCTTATCATTCTCGCACTCGCCCTTCCAGCGCTCTGGAACAGGTCCCATGCTGTGATCCCGAAAGCTTTCGGACTCCGGCCAGATGCCTGCACACACTTCTTTCATTTAAGTGAGAGAAATAACTAAGCAAAAGAATTTACCCGTATCCAAAACACCAACAATGACATCGCTAGTACTACCATCTTCCCACATTCCCTTAAAGTTTCCAGATGTGAGCCCGAGGAACTGCCACGATTGAGTGGTATGGAGCTCAAGTTTTCTGCTCCTAAACACGCTAACAACGCCAGGCATGTCTGCAAGCTCAAACGAGTTAGAACAAAAGATAGGAAGAAAAGGAACGGAATCGATACACACCAGCGATCTGAGCCGCTTGTTCGCGAGTGAGCGTGGCCGAGAATCCACTAAACGCGTGCTTGTAACTGTAGATTATGGAGCTCGACGCCTCATCTTCACTGTGAGTCCTTATTAAACACGCATGAAAATTTCTTTTCGATCGCAGACCTGTCGAACGCATCCATCAGTGTTGATTGCTGCGATGCGAGCAGCACCTCCGGGGCCGCGTTTCCCTTGCTTCCCATGTACACGACATAGACCTGCATTATCGCATTATCGATTCATCCATCCATCCATCGATCCATCGATCCATCGATTGAATGATCGGCCCTTTCTCACTCACCGCTTTGTCATCGATCGAACACCTGCCGGCGACGATGAGCAGAGGCAGCAGACACCAGAAACATCTAAGCGCAGCGGCCATTGGCCGGAAGGAGGTAGAAACCGCCGAAGAACCCTATAATTTTTGTTCCGTGTTCTTGCTAACATGTGGAGGAATGAAGCAGCAGTCAAACTTACGTGATTCTCTTGTTTTTGCTTTTGCGGATATTATTCCTGCGCATTAAATTGAGTGAGGAACCAGGGTGGACATATCATCCGGAATACAAAACCAGCCGTCCGATACCATCCAGCGCTTTCAACCTTTAGTCCCTTAACCTTTTTACACGTACATTAATTTACGTTTACACATCCGATATTAACATAAATAAAATATAGAGAACTGGAATGGCGCTCACCAAAGATTGGAGATTTTTACAAAGGCATGTAAATTTTTGCCGAGAGAACAAAATCACACGTGGATACGTGAACACAGCCCCACGCAACCCCATGCAGTGCATGATGTGGCGCCATCCCCGGCGAATAAAATCTTTGGCGCTTGCTATGATGATGCGTTTGAACGATTTCGCGCATGTATTGCTTTGATAGGGCAGCGGCTCTCGTTTTAGGGGGACTCCCAGCGAGAAGAGGAGCGTTTGTGTCCAGGTTTTACACAAGAACGAGCAGGGCCTTTTCTCGATCGTGTCCCGGAGCGAGAGCTATGGCGACCTTCCCAGCGCAGAAGCAGGAGTCGCAGCCTGGAGTCCAGCACGTCATGGATCCCCATCCCCGCACCAAGCGCTCGGATTACAAGCCATCGGACAAGCTCAAGGTTAAGTCGTTGCTATTTTCAAATCTCGGGCTTGTTCGATTTGATGCTTGTGTGTCCCACAGAATAAGGTGGCTCTGATAACTGGGGGAGACTCCGGCATTGGGCGAGCTGTGGCTTACTTCTATAGCCTCGAGGGCGCCAGTGTCGCCATAACTTACGTGCCTGGGAAAGAGGAGAAGGACGCGGAGGAAGCGATCCATATGATCAAGGAGGCCAAGACCGCGCATGCCAAGGATCCGATCATGATCCCAGCCGACATTGGTTACGACGAGAACTGCAAAAAGGCAAGCCCGATTGAGTTTTGCAGACTTCAAGAGAAACTTTCGTGACGATTCTTTTTTCGGTTATGTTCTTGTCGATCGCATTAGATTGTTGACGAAGTGGTGAAAGCTTATGGGAGGATTGACATACTCGTCAACAACGCCGCCGAGCAGTACCGCGTACAGAAGATCGAGGACCTCAAGCCGGAGCAGCTGGAACGCGTGTTTAGAACCAACATATTCTCCCACTTCTATCTCTCCAGGTAAATCCTCTCTAGTATCAATCAAAACTGAGTTGCCTCTCTACGACACAGGTATGCCGTGCCTCACATGAAGGAAGGCGAGGGCTGCATCATCAACACCACCTCTGTGAACGCCTACAAAGGAAACAAGACTCTCATCGACTACACGTCCACCAAAGGAGCCATCGTCGGCTTCACAAGGTCTCTCGCTCTCAACCTCGTGGATAGAGGAATTCGTGTGAATGGTAAGCTCGTCCTTGTTTCATAATTCTCGTCCACCTTTTGTCCAAACCAATTGTTGCTTGCTACTCCTCCAGGCGTTGCTCCAGGTCCAGTGTGGGCTCCTTTAATCCCAGCTTCGTCGCCGGAGCCCGAGCAAACCGAGCACTTTGGCGAGCAGTGCCCGATGGGAAAAGCTGCGCAGCCGGACGACATTGCTCCCTCCTACGTCTTCCTCGCCTCGGAGGACGCTGCCTTCTTCACTGGACAAGTCCTTCATCCAAACGGTATAGTATATATCTTTTCTTCCTCTATCAAGGAGCTCTTAAGTTACTCGTTTTTCTCTGCAGGAGGGATGATTGTAAATGCATAGGCCAGAGAAGCTGATCGAGAACAGTTGTGAATCAAATTGAGAACAGTTGTGGATCAAATCAAATCGAAGTTTTTTCCATCACGCCAATGCGGCCTTCACAGTGAGTGGTATTCTAACTTTGTGCTTGTAGCTCTTCCAGGTGAGAGATCCAAACACGTAGTCCTTGCGTGGCATCGTTGCGTTAAAAGTAACGTTGAAAGCTAGAGTTTGGCCCGCTTGAGTAAAGGCGAGCTCGGACGGCTCGACACTCACGGACACGCCCTCCGGAGCTTCGATCTTGGGCCAATACGTCGACACGCAATCCCCGACATTGGTCACGAACCGGGTCACCGTTTTCACCCCTGTCAAGTTGGAGAGAGTGATGCTGGGGAGATTGAGAGCGCTCGCCGGCTGCGCCACTGTGCTGCAATCTATCCCCCGCTTGCCGGTGATGAGCGCGACGGCGACCGAATCATACAGGTCGCACAGGAACGCGATGTAGTCGCTCTCGGATACGTCATAGATCAGGCCCGGGTGTGCTGCCGCATTGGGATCGACGTGACCGCTTCCAAAGTGGAAAGGCGTGGCTCTCTCCAGAGCGTTGGTGAGAATGTGATTTTTCTTGTTGTCCACCACGGTTGCTGTTATTACGAGAATTGAGTGAGATTCTTATATCATCTTGGAACTCTGTAGTAGCATACCTGTGGTGCTCAGTGCTGATCTGATGGCCGCGGGACTCCACTCTGGGTGATAAGCTTTGAGGAGAGCGATCATCCCCGCGACATGGGGACACGACATGGATGTTCCAGACATGCTTCCATAGCTCCCGTCTCCGCTGGCTGGGCTGATCGCCGCTATGATGTCTACTCCCGGAGCAGTGATATCGGGCTGCGTAACAGGAGCCACAGTCACTAAGCAATTAGAGAGATCTCGAGCATCTTACCTTGAGCACGTCCGGAACAACGACGTTTGGACCTGGAGATGAAAACGCTGCCATGACAGGAGCCTTTACACCTGACATTGTAACTGGAGGGGTGATATAAGCTGTTGGATGCCTGCGTAAAGAAAACAGTCAGCTTGGAAAAAGGAAGCTTTACGTACTCGGAAGCGTTGATGTACGAGAAGATTGCTGCTCCATCAGTATAAGTAACATGAACCGTAGGCACGAAATGGTCATCGGCCAGAATTTCGTTTCCTTCAGCCGGTCCGTTGCAAAGGATCATTCCAGCACCACCAGCCAAGAGGACATTATGGCCCTTGTCAACGCGACTGTTTTCACCGCGCAAACAAGCCACTATCTTGCCTCTCACCTTCTCGGGATCCAAGGAACCCACCACACACAACTCGCTGCAATCCAAAAGGACGTCAAGAATCAGTGCTGCCTTTCAAAGAACTGGAACAAAGAAAAGCTTTACCTGCGCGATGAATTTGAAGTTGGTGCAAAGGCATCCTTGCTTGCAATGAGCGGGTACTGCCACGGCTTAAGCTCTTTGTAAGAGATCGACTCACCCTGTAGAAAAGCAAACGTAAAAACCACGATCGATCGAAACATAAGTTCGTCACCTTGTACACTGCACCATTCCCAAGCACAGCTCTCGACGAGAAGTTCCTGTCCAGGGTACTAGCAGCCACCGTGACGATCCACGGCGCAACGTTGGAAACTACCCCGAGCGTCGGCCCGGCGTTACCGCCCGAGGCAACCACGGGGATCCCTCGCTGGACAGCGTGGAAGGCGCCAACTGCTGTCGCGTCGGAGAAAAATTCCCCTGGATCTCCCCCTAGAGAAAGCGTCATCAAGTCCACTCCATCTTCGATGGCCTGATCCATGGCGGCAAGGATGTCGACCTCGCTGCAGCCTAGAGGCCAGCAAACTTTGTAGATTGCCAGCCTCGCGAACGGCGCCCCTCCCTTGGCGGTCCCATTACCATAGCCATGCAGACTAACGTTTGGCACAAATCGTCCAGCGGCCGTGGAGGCGGTGTGCGAGCCGTGTCCTTCCTTGTCCCTGGCCGAGAAGAAGTCTCCGGCCGCGGAGATGTTTTCGGCCCTCATGCCTTTGTAATAGTATCGAGCGCCAATGATTTTCCTGTGAGAAGGAACATAAAGAGTCTAGTTTCTCGATCCTGGAGTTTGTAGCTCACCTGTTACATAGCGAGGAGTTGAAAGCTTGGCCGGCTTGACAGATTCCTCGCCACCGGCTGGGAACCGGACCCATTCCTTCATCGGAGAAGCTCTCGGACTCCGGCCACACTCCTGGCAATCGACATGATATTCATTAAGATCCTAGAGATCTAGAAATGAAAATTTGCCAAAGGAAAAAGATCGCAAACAAGGAAGATTGAGATGGGACAAGGCGAAGGAAAAAGATCAAGAGCAAACAAGAGATCTTACAAGACGAATGAGATCCAAGAACTTCGAAAATGCAAACAAGAAGATCGAGATGGAAGAATGCGAGAACCTTACCAGTGTCAAGCGAGCCGATGATAACATCCTTGCCATAATCCGTGTTCTTCCACAGCGATCCGCCCACCCTGGACAAGGAATGCTTCCTCCCGCGGCGATCCACCGACAAGCCTAGGAAATCCCACGACGCAGTCGTGTGGAGCTTTGAAATGCCACTGGGGAAGACGGAAATCACGCCCGGGAGACCTGGATTTCCAAGAAAACAAGAACAAGAGAGAGTTGGATCTCTCTAATAGCGCCGGCGCTAATTACCAGAAATGCGATCGACCTGCTCGTCCGTGAGCTTGGCCGCGAATCCACTGAAAGCGTGCTTGTAGGAATAAATGAGCGCCTCGCTCGCGTCCTCACTGTTCCATCCAAATCATAATTTAGGGTTCCAACGCCAACTTTGTTTGGGTGGTAGCAAAGGAAAACTCCCTCCTAAGATCGACTTGATAAACTTTTTTCGATCTTACCTTCCAATTGTTTCCGCGAGAAGCGACGAGTGCGACTCCGCGATCGCGTCCGGATGCAACTCCGGGTCCGAATGCCCCAAGTAGACAATGTGAAGTTTTGCGGGCTGCAATACAATACGAAGGATGTTAACTCGGGAATTTGGGTATCCCAGCTTTTTACAAACCTTGGAGGCTTCGACCTGGAATTGAAAAAAGAAACAAACGGAAACCAGGAGCCAAAACATTGCAGCCATCTTTTCTCGGCTCCTAATTTGACAATCAGCGTATTTAACCGGTCTAGAGCCATATATAAACCAATCAACGTCCTAATTCGGCATTTTTCATTTTCCTCAATCTTTTATTACATTTTAAGTTTTGTCTAGAAATAAGTGCTAAAAAACACTGTGTCTTAAATATAGCAAAATATAGAGAAATAACACACGGAAAACTGTGCAAATTCCCAATTGGAACAATCCATGTTACAGTTTTGGAATGGTGGCGAGCGAAAAATCTCTCCTCCCACCCGAGCAAATCAAACAAAAAAAAGAGAGAGAAAAACTCAGTCAGTGTTTACAAACGCGAGCCTCTTTTGGAACTGTGTATACAAGTCACTTCTCGTCAGAAACCGATCTTCCGCGAGCAGTGATCTGTCAGGTTGGCAACCATAAATCCGGCAAAAACCTGGCGATCAAACGCTGGAATCAGACACAAAATCTATCCAGCACTGGACTTACTTGAGCCGAGCCAAGAACGTAAATGGCCGAGTAATGGCGTCCATGGACAACCATATCAGCTAGCATGGCAAAGGGTATTGTCAACGACATTCCTAGCGTTGCCACGAGAGGCGTCGTCCATACCACTGACAATGCCCTGCGAGAAAGTAAACAAAGATTTGTGACGAAATGCCCATCTACATTTTCCAAAAACTCACCAAATGTAATCGGAGAGAACACTGCCAATGAAGCTATTTGCAAGAACAGCCTCGTCCACCTTTGCCGACCGAGGTATGCTTAGACTCGGCTCCAAGCCGAGTGCATGAAGTGGCCAAGCTGCAACAACAAAGCCAGTTTTAATCTTTCTGCAAGAAAAGAATACGAAAAACAGAAGTAAAAAAGGAAATACTCACTGAGCCACCAGAGGCCAATAAGTGTAAACAATCCAATGAATCCGAAAATCTTCTGGACATCCACAGTCTCTCCATCTTCCCCGGCTATTCGCTTCAGCGAGACTGCGTACACGCCAAGGACTTTTCAGCGGAAGAAAACCTTCCAAACGGCAGCTTACCTGTGAAGAGACCATACGTAACAGCCGAAGAGAGCCCCAGGATGTCTCCAACCATGTCATGCTTGCTCGGCCTTGAAAACAACCGATGAAAACTTCAGGAAAAGCGGAGAAAGAAAAGAAAATGGATCAGCTACCTCGACAAAGTTGCTTGCACGTCATCCTTCGCCCATGTCCGCCCGAGTGTTGTCATGAACACTCCTATGATCGTTATGAGCACTGACACGACTTTCAAGACGTTAAACTGGTCCTGCCCCAACAGCGTTCCAAACATCAACGTGAACAGTGCCGAGGTAGACGAAAGAATCGTTGTGCTTGCAACGCTCGTATGGGCCAAGGCGGCGTTCGACAAGTACTAGAAAACAAACACACGTCAGTTTGGCTGCCGGAAATCCCAAAGAAAAACTTCTATCTCGAGTTACCTCTGTGAGTAGCCAAAGAGGAGCCAGATAGAGGCATGCCTTTGCAACATCCCAGTCTGTCCAAGTTACTTTCTCTGGCGCTAGCTTTGACGCCAAAGAAGGTTTCACAGAGGCTCCTGGAGCTTCGACATCTTTCCCATTTTCCTGGAGCATGAGATGCTGTAGCTCCATATCACTGGCCTTGACGCGGTTTCTCTTGGATGGAGAATCCAGCACGCCACCACCACCATCTGAGTTTTCTCGTTGAATTTTCCTATAGCGCCTTTGGAAGTAAGAATAGATCCAGTCTTTGAGCACCGACAACGGCAAGTAGACGACCATAAGCGACGCTCCCAAGTAGGAAAGCGCAAATGGTTGCTTGTAAGCCTCGAAAATTTTCTACGGAGAAAAAGAGAAAAATTCGAGGCAAAGACTTAGAAAGAGTCCACGAAAAGGAAAGAAAACCGACATACCTGTGTGACTTCCGCCGAAGTGACCCATATCACGACGACCGTGGAGAGAAGCACCAATCCAGCCTTGTATTTCCAGGCCATGGAATGGAACCGAGGGAATTCTCACATAGCTACCTCAAAATGCGCCATTTCGCGCTGCCAGATCTGCCGCAAGCGAGCAAATTCCTCGCCCAGATCCCGCTCAATGATCCATCGCGAAGCTCAAACAGCTGCAAGCTCGTGGAATGCCGATCCCTCCCCGGCGCGCCAGTGAACGCATTCTTCCCATTTTAGGGCTCCAAGCTACCTAGGCGGTAAACAATCGGCATCCGGGATAAAGACGAAGCGCTTGTGTGGGGAAGCTTTAATTTGTTTGTGGTATATTCTATTTCCTAATAAACATTCTAAATTTACGGCCCCTCAAATCCTGGCCGTTCAATCTGGCGCCTCTTAGGAGAGCAAAATCTGGAGCGTTTATTTTGTGATCGCCTTGTACTGGCACACGGTCTCTCGTATAGCTCTCTCCACTGGCAATCTCTCCATGCTAGAAGCTCCATAGAATCCATGAACTCCCGTGGTTCTCTGGAGAACATACTTGGCGTCCTCGGGTCCAGCGATCGGTCCTGATAAGAAAATTCTAATCAGTATCAATCGATCTTCCAAGTTTTTTTTTTGACTAGTTTTGCTGGTTTTGACGAAAGAAATCACGTACCTCCGTGACACAGGACTATGACGTCTGGATTTATCTCCGAGGCAGCGTTGGCGATCTTTTGGACGCGATCAACACTTTGATCGAGCGTGAGAGCGGTGCTAGCACCAATGGAGCCGGCGGTGGTGAGTCCCATATGAGCCACGATTATGTCCGCGCCGGCTTGTGCCATTGCTCGTGACTCTTCCTCGTTAAACGCATACGGTGTTGTTATAAGTCCCATTTCGTGAGCCTGTTTTATCATCTCTACTTCCACCCTGTGTGATTAAACAGTGTTAGTAGTGTCTCTTTTTCTTCCCGTCTTTCTCAAGAGTATTGTATCTCGAAAACTACGTACCCGAATCCCATGCCAGTTTCTTCAAGGTTTTGTCGAAAGTTCCCGTCAAAAAGTCCTACAGTAGGGAAATTTTGCACACCGACAAATCCAATCTGCTCGAGCTCGCGTAGGAAGCGACTCATTTGCCGGAAAGGATCTGTGGCGCAGACTCCAGCAAGAACTGGAGTTTTCTTCACAACCTGTAAGGAGACAAAAACAAGTAATTCTTTGGAAAAAGTTTTGTAAAACTTGAGCTAGAGATGAACCACAAAATGAAAAATCAATGAAACTTACCGGAAGAACTTCGTTGGCCATGTCTACAACGACAGCGTTGGCGTCTTTGAACGGTAGCAAACCCGCGAGAGAACCTCTCCCGGCCATCCGGAAGCGTCCAGAGTTATAGATGACGATCAAGTCCACTCCTCCTTCCTCCTCAAACTTTGCAGATATTCCAGTCCCAGCGCCAGCACCGATTACAGGAGCTCCATCTTTAATTTGCTTCTTCAGATTTGCGAGGATTGTCTCGCGTGCTAGAACTGTTTCTGGAACGATAAAACAGTGTGTGCGTGAGTGGATCAAACAAAAATAGCTACCTGGTTTTGCGTCTTTTCTGATACTAGGAAGTGGAGGTTTCCTCGTGACGCTGGTAGATTTAGTCGAGGTATTGTCAAGTTCATCAGCTGGAGGAATTTTCGCCTGATCAACGGGAGGCACGAGTTCCAGAAATGCTTTGACGACAGCTCGAGAGAACTCGGGATCATTTATGTTGCAAGGAAGGAACTCTAGCTGCAATGGAGCAAGACGATGGATCGTTAGAAACCATCTAAAACTTCGCGAAAATACCTGTCTGTCCGGCGTTTGATGTATTTCTTTCTTGAGCTCGTCTAGCAAAGCATCTGTTGCCTCAGGACAGAAAAATGGCATGCCTTCGGCGTCAAGCGCTGAAACTCCCTTGAGAGGGCACAAGATCCGAACAGGAGACGAAGATCTGTTGACACGCTCGGCTATAAACTTTGCAAACTTTCGATTTTCCTCTGCTGTTGTCCGCATCAAAGTCACCTACGAGAAGGAAAACAATGTTTAGTTAAGCGAGCTCAGCGAGTACCTGGCTGTTATGGACGTGGAATTTACGTCCAGAAAACTCCGAAGGGACTGTCTTCTTGCTTCCAAAGTTCACCATGTCGAGAGCTCCAAGGCTAAGAACAAGAGGAATTTTTTTCTCCACGGTTGACGTGAATCGATTCTCATCACAAGCCATTACACCACCGACAATGTGATCGGCCACCTCGGTGGTAGTAAGATCGAGCACTGCCTGGAAGTGAAAGATCAGAAGAAACTAAAAGAGAAAAAAACGTAGAAAAAAAAAAAAAAAACCTGGAAGAATCCTTGAGCTACTAGATTTTCCATGGCTTTTCCGCCAGTGCCCGTGGCATGGAACACAACAACTTCGTATCCTCGCCGCTCGAGCTCCTCACGAACCGCGGTCACGCAGGGAGTTGTCACTCCAAACATGGTCACACCAACACTCGGCCTTGCCGAAAGTTTTTCCTGGATCACTCCAGCAGTAGAGAGTTTTCTCGGCACCCTTGCTGCTACCATCCCGGCAAACGCCGCTGCGGCGTTAGCGAAGATGGTGGTGCTTACGCTGTTAATCCCGGCAACGTCCACCACCGATGGAACCAATATGAGATCACTCGACCCGATGTAAGCCGCCGTGTTGCCGCTAGCAACCGTGGAGACGATAACTTTGGGGATTCCAATGGACAAATTTCTAAGAGCCGGGGAGATCATCCCAGTTCCTCCGCTTCCTCCAACTCCAATCGCCCCCGCGGCTGCGGATTTTGTCCTGAGGAAGCCCTCCAGAGCAGTGGCCATGACGGAAGTCGCCGCCCCTCTTTCCGCTGGCAGTGAAGATAATTCTCGAGATCTCGCATCTGGGTGATGCGAGAGAACTGTTTCTCGGCTGACAAACTCGTCGCCGGTGTTCTTGGAGTCGTGATCTTGTGAAGTTGAGACATCTACGGTAACGATCTTTGCCTGAGAGACCTTTCCATAAGGAAGAGTTGTAAGGAAGATAAAATGCAGCCTACCTGAG